CTTGCTGTTTGAATAAGAAAACCAAAAGGCACAGAAAGGTAACATTAAATTGGGAGGCCATCGAGGGGGAGATAGGAAACTGTTAATTTTTCTTCAGAAAGCAAGAGAGTATTTGAAATTCAAATTGTTGATTTTTTAAAACAATTAGCTTTAAAATGGAAATTATAAAAAAGAAGAAGGAAGGGTGTTTGTCCTGTGATATATGAAAACATAACAAAGTGACCAATATACTAGTGTAGTTATACAGATTTATAGTATATATTTATATTATGTCTTATTATTATGTCTTATTATATTTTTAGAATATACACATATACATGATTATTTTAACCAGTTCTATGATGTACTGCCCGGGAGCAGAACACATCCCTACCGTTTCAGTGAACCTGTAAATCCCGTCCAGCAGTGTGGTTTGTTGGGAGTGGGGGAGGTGAGCTGTGCCTGGTGGTTTTGGGGTCAGGGGTCACTGCCTGCAACTTTCCTGGATGTTGGCAGCTGCTTGGCAGCCTCGCCCTCGGAGCCCAGCCACTTCCTTGGGAATGTCTGGCGAGGTTCAGGCTGGGCTGGGATGTACTCGTGGGGGGCCCTGAGATGTCCCTTTGGCCGGAAGGTCTGGATTTTTCCTCAGCCGTCTATGGCAGCCCATGCAGTCCTCAGTGGCACAGCTGACAAAGGACTTCCTTCTCCTGTATTAAGTAACAGGTAAAAAAACAATTTGCAAGGTTGCTTCCTTGCACTGTGACCTTCATGTTTTGGAAAGGTCACATCCAAGTCCCAACTGGTTTCCTTGGCTCCCCAGAGGAAATATTCCTTATGGTTCAGGGTGTACTACAGCTTTCCGCCTTCCTCAGCCTTCCAAGACGCTGCTTCCACCGCGGAGTTCCAGTGAAACCGCCCAGTCCCCACCTTCTGCCTGCCGAACAGGAGCTGGGCGCTCCCCGCCTGTGCTAAGTGCCCCGCCGCCCTCGGAGAGGCTGCTTAGCAGAGGCGGCGGGAGGTGCCCCCCAGTCACCCAGTTCCTTCTCTTCCTCATCTGAACGAGGGGCCTCCCTCGGAGTCAGGGCCCTCCGTGGTGTTCCCAAGTGGACTCCTGGTGGATATTTTAAAACTCTCAGGGGAAAGTTCATGAGAAACCAGAAACTAAAGAATGAAAGTCAATTCTTTGGTTTCACCGTCTCTGGGCTACTTGAGGTATGACAATCAGCCACCATTTCCACAATGTGTTATTTTTTTTTATTTTTTAAATATTGTGCTATTTTTATTTTTATTTATTTTTTTAGATTTTACTTATTTTTAGAGAGGGAAGAGAGGGAGAGAGAGAAACATCAATGTGCGGTTGCTGGGGGCCGTGGCCTGCAACCCAGGCATGTACCCTGACTGGGAATCGAACCTGCGACGCTTTGGTTCGCAGCCCGAGCTCAATCCACTGAGCTACGCCAGCCAGGGCCACACAATGTGTTATTAAATCTAAAACTGAAATGACCGGTCCTGGTAAACACCTCCTCTCATCACCCAGATTAACATCTTGCTGCTGCCTATGGCTGAGCTGAAAATGGCCTCTTCATCAACCACTCCACCTGCTTCCATTTCCACCGACCAGATCTATGTACGTGCTTCGGAAACACGTCCCACTGTAACAGGAACCAGGTGACAGAGTAGCGAAAGGGACATTCCTGTCTGACAGGAAATTAGGACAGGTCTCACAGACTTAATCTCCCTCTTCTCCCCTACAATAGAAATTGTTTCTATTTGCTTCCTTTCTAGCCTCCTCATTGGCCTTCATTCCAAGTTTCAAGACACAACTGACTGCCCTGGCTGGTGTGGCTCAGTGGATGGGGCGCCGGCCGGCAAGCCAGAGTCGCCTGTTGGATTCCCAATCTAGGGCACATACATGCCTGGGTTGCGGGCCGGGCCGCCAGTAGGGGGCGCGTGAGAGGCAACCACACATTCATGTTTCTCTCCTTCTCTCCCTTCCCCTCTTAAAACAAACAAACAAACAGACAGACAGACAAACAAACAGATACAACTGGAAGGAAGATACAGATGCTCCTGTGAGTCAAAGGCCCAGTGAGAAATGCTTTCAACGGGGCAGTTAAACAAGGAGCGATGTGGTGCCTCCTGGCTGGGAGGTGACTCCTGAGGCCTTTGGAGTAGTTTCTGCCCCGTAGTGGGTATTCCAGAAATACCTGTGATGTGAGTGGATGCTACCCCTCTGGGGCATTCCTGGACCTACTCAGCATGGGCTTGGAGGATTTTTGCACAAGTCCCTAGGACTGTGTTTGGTGATGGTGATGGCGGACTGGTGGGCGGGGGCCGAGAACACATCTGTCAGGACTGCGCTTGGGCCCATCCAGCCCAGCTCCTTTGAGACCCTGCTATTCTGGCCTCAGTCCGCCTTCCTAAATCAACTCTCTCCACTTTTTTTTTCTTTTTGTACTTTATAATCTTTTATGTGGCTTGTGAATAAAATTTTGTAGCTTTAATTTCTTAATAATTGGCCCCAGGGCATCGGCTGTAAATCAGTCCACACTAAGCTGCCTTCTTACAGCAATCTCAGCCTCCGCTTGCTGAATCTCCCGGCCAAGGCTTTCAAAGGTGCGTCTTCTCACTTACGACAAAACTCAGGGACGCTGCTCTCACCCCATTTTCCAGGAGTAGACGTTTCTGCTCCTCGGCCAAAGCTTCCCCCAATCCTTCCACTCCCTCTGGATTTCATAGGAAGTCACTGCTTTTAGTTTCTAACCCTTTATTTCTCCATCTTAGCTTTATAGAGTGTATCTTCCCTCGGCTTTTCTAAGATTTCCTGTTTGCTTGTGCAAATCTCATTACCAAAACGTTATTAATTCTGCCCTCCTGGGTCAGTGGGTGGCCTCTTTGCCATGCCTTTCCTCACCCACCACTCTCTTGGGATGTTGCACCCTTATCTGCAGGCCAGAGCAGGGCACCTTGACAGTAGTGAGAGCCATTGATGTCCTTTTATCCCTTCACTGTTCTTCCCAAACCTCCACCTCACTCAGGAAGGTTCTGCTGGACGTTCTCTCCTCTCGCTTTCTCCCAGGTAGCTGCTGGTGCAGGTGAGGACGCCCCTAGAAGACCCCGGGTCCTCTCCCTCCGTGGGCTTATGAGAATGCAACGACTCTGGGCAGAAACCCTAGTCTCACCTGCGGCTGCCTTGGTCCTTGCTAGACGGCTCCCATTACCCTCTGGGGAAAGCCGTCATCTCATAGCCTCACAGCTTGCACTCACCTGGGCTTCCTGCTTTTGTTTTATGTCAGTACTCTGTGATTTAAATCTTTGAAAATTTTAATAAAAATGTATGTTATGCATCCCATTGGGTACTGCACATGCACATGGGTTTTTAGAAAGGCACAAATAGGACTATACTCAAGATTTTTCTTAAAGTTTTTTTTTCTTTTCCAGCCACATTTAACATTTGATTCTTCAGGGATGGGAGGTGCCTAGTAAGTCAGTTCATTGCAATGTGGAGAAGAAACAGTTTCGAGGTCTCTTGTCGCTGGTCTTTCCCATGGCTAATGTCATCGTGCGGCGATGTCCCCAGCAGTGGTCACTTGTGTCTCTTGAAGGGTTGGGTTACTCTAGAGGCTAACGCCCCAGGTATTTGGAGCAGCGGTGACGGGGCAGCGAGAGGGGAACAAGGCTGGAAGAGTGGCCCACCTCCGATGAGCGCCCCCGGCACCTGTGCGCCCCCATCTCCGCCGTGCTCACAGCCTTTCCGGAGGCAGGAGGTGAGGCAGCGCACTACGCACAGGTCTGTCTTCCTTGGAAAAGAACACAACTCTCATCTGTCCCCGGAGCACGGTTCCAGCGGGGAGGAGAGGGAATAACCTGAGGGCAGAAAGCAGAACCCGTGTGACAGAAATGCCGCCCGAAGGAAGTCCAAGCGAGAAAAGTCTTAAGTGCAGCCCCACGGGGCTCAGGAAGGTCTTCACGGAGGAGGCGGCTGTGAGCTGCCTTGTGAGGGAGGAGGAGGGGTGAGAATGAAAGGACGGAGCTAAGAAGGTATAGAGAGGGTGTGCTTTCCCACGGGTAACAGGACTGAAATCACCGCAGGCATCTGTTTGAAATGCGAGCCCTGAGGCAATGCCCCGGAGTGTGAGTAGGAGGCCTGCCCAGGGCCCCCAACGGAAAGTCCCCGGACCCCTAGATGGGAAGGTGCTCAGGCTACCAGCATCATGGGAGCTCTGGGAGGCAGGTTCGGGTCATGGTGAGGACCTCAGTCTGGTTTACATCCTCGATTCAGAGCAGGACTCGTCAATGTACTACCTACAGGAATCAGACCGGTACACGCAGTGAGAGAGGTTGATGGGATATAAGTGCAAATGTCAAAACTGTCTCTCCCTACAGTTAAGGAACAGCAGCCCCTTCTCTCCAGCAGTTACCACCCATTAGGAACACGTGCCTGGGACCAGAGCTCTCCATCTGCAAGAGAAGCCTGAAACCTGGGCTTAGTATAATTCCTCCTCCTCCAATTATCACACAGTGGACTAAAATGCCATGAGCACCCAACAATTCCATGAGGGCCACCAGCTGGCAAGATCAGAGGGGCAGAACCAAATCTTACTGCATGTGGATGCGAATGATAGATAGAATTGCATTTCTTCTGGTAGACCATGGAAAACAATAGAAGGTTCGGGAGCAAAGAAGGGAGCTGAACAAAGCCTGCTGTAAGAAAATTCACATGGCTCTTGGGTACTCTTGGGACGAAGTGGGCAGGGGGCCCCTCAGTCAGGAGACCATAGGAAAGTCAGTTGTGCAAAGGGAATAAAAAAAAAGGAGAGTATGAAAGATGCTGAGAAGCAAGAGCCGAGGAGTGATGATTGGCTCTCGATGGAAGGGGGAGAAAGGAATCACCCTCATTCTTTAACGCATACCTGCGTTCCTGTCTTGTTCATCCTGTGGGCAGATAGTTAAGTTTGCACTCTGCTCAACAGGAAAATTTAGAGTCATTTCTTTAGGGGAGAAAGAAAGCACAGACAGAATATTTTATAGTATCTATAATAAATGCAAAGAAACCAATACAAACAAAACTTAGCTTTAGCAAACTGTACATACATAAATATCTCTTTTTTTTCCACATAAAGCCTTCCATGGTCTTATTTATTACATCCAGTTCTTCTTTATACTTTTTAAAAAAGTGCCTTTTGGATTTACAGCTGTGCTTCTCAAGCAAAGGATAGAACATCATGCCCCAAAGGAAAACGAGGTAAAAGGAAGCTGCCATATAAGCTTGTAAAAACTGTATGTTACAAGGTTCTAAAATCTCTTCAGCGCTGCTGGGCTGGTAGAGTGCTGGACGCTAACGTGGCGCTCAGGTGGCGTCACCTACTGAATGGACGGGGCCCACCATGGGAAAGCTGCCCCGACGGCGTGCTGAAGTCCTTGGGTATGCAGAGAAAGGGCCGAAGGCCCAGAATATACGTGTCCAGAGACCGCTGGAGGTCCTTCATCTCTTTAGCACGGAGGCTCAGAGTTTTCAATGATATTTCTTCCAAACCTCTATCTTCTGTTTGCTCTCCTCCTGCCACTGTTTATCATCCACCTCCGAGGTCATGATTTGCACACACGGGTTCAAGCTGCCACACCAAGGGCATTCGCCAAGATTCAGGTCCTCTTTTCACTATTTTGGGGTGGCTTTGGGCCAAATCCTCCTTACACTACCAGCACCACTGCAGATTGCACCTGCTTGGCTCAGAGGGGCGGAGGGCCGTTTGTGTATCTGAGCATGGGGTGGAACGACCGGGCGAAGTTGTTGGACAGGGCGCAGCTGTAGTCTTCCTCTGACATGGGGACCAGGCAGGCGAGCCCGATGAGCAGCAGCAGGAGGAGCTGGAGCGGGAGGGCCGCGCGGAGCACTCGGAACAGGAAAGGGCGGCCGGACCGCGCTGGCCGAGGCTCAGAAAGGGAGGAATCGGAGCCACCTTTTATGGACCTGAGAGAGAAAGTGACAGAAACAACTCAAATACCTTCCATGATGGATGGATGCTGCTTTTAGTTCCCTCACCTCCCTGGAAGCTAAAGGACCACGCCAAACCCAACCCAACCTGGCGATTAGCTGCCAGCCTTCCTTCCTCGGTGTGCCCCGGCCGTCTCCCGCCACCAATGGAAGAGTTGCTTGGCAACGGTGCTGTTGAAAAGTTAACATTTAGTCAGTCGACTAAAGGTAACTAATTGATGTCAAATTCCACCCCTTAATTGGGTAAAATAGTTCCCATCAACAGAGATAATTGCTCTGTACACATCCTACCAGCAGAAATGAAGTAGATCTGGGATAATTAAGATGTGGATGTTTGATGAAGTGCATTTTTGGTTAAAGACTACCCGGAGCACCGTTAGCCAAAATTAGTTGCTGTCAGAATTGTACGAAGTGTTCCATCTAGTCATCCGGGGTGTGCCCGTATCCACGCAGCGAGGAGGAGAACAGCCCCAGTCATTTTGTGCAGACCCGTAAAGATTAATTTGATCTCAGAGTGTACCCTGGTCTCATCTTGCACTGAATCAGCATCCGGCCCTGACATCAGTGGGTTCCGAAACTGTACGAACAAGGATGGCAGAGGAAGCCGTCCTTGTGGGCACACAGAACAGTACTGAGTGACTCAGACCCTGGGCTGATCCTATTGTCTATCAGCTGTGAGTCTGAGAAGCAGACACAAGTTTTCTGAGGAGGGCACTGTCACCCTGTAGGCTCCTTCTTTCTGCTCAAAGGTCTACCTTTCCCTTCTACATTTATATCTCCCTACCCGCTACACTGTGCATTAGAGACTGAACACGAATTTCCAGTCTCATGAGAAAGATGGCCTGTAGATGGCCTTCCATTGAATATGGAAGTCGATTCTGGGTGATGTGTTCATCCCTTAATGTTTTGTTTGGTTACTAGTAGAAAAGATGAAGAAAGGAATTTTCTTTTACAAGTGTTTGTAAAACACTTTACAAAGAAATGCTTTTGTACACACACACACACACACACACACACACACACACTACAGGAGCAAAAAGAATGGGTACTAATGAGACTCAAGCCCACCCCCCCCCCACACCTAGTATAAATTCTCTAACGGTAGTAGTCTCACTCAGGATTAGGGCATTGAATGCGAGGCCACTGGAGAAATACAAGCGTGTGAAAACTGTGTTGGTTACTCTGCATGCTTTTCTCTTAAGAGAAGACTAGGTTTCCAGCTGGACTACTCAAAACTCTTTAATTAAACCATCGAAGAAATGTGGGGAACGAACAGACGGGTCCTCTGTAGCCCCGAACAGTCCTATACCCCACTGTGTTTTTAGTGCACATAGTGAAAGAATAATCGCTGGCCTAAATTGGGACTGCGTTTCTTTTCTGAAAACTATAACTAACGGCTTGAGTAACCTTGAACAAGTCACATCACCTCCAAGCGCCAACCTCTTGTTCAACGCCTCCAAATTAGACTGGATTGTCTTCCAACTTGGAAGTTCCGTGTTTTATACATTTTATGTCTTCTCCTAATTAGTCAGTGTAATATTCTGGCAGCTGAGAGGCCACAAGCATTCAATCACCATCTAGTGGTCAAACTGATTAACGGCCCTCAAGCCAAGGCCAATGAGCTACTCCTAATGAGCTGAACAGGAAGCCCGTATATTTTGTGAAATACAGTAGAGAATAAAAGAAGAATGTCACATACTGATCAATAGAAAACAGGAAACTATTGAGTTTTCTAATAAAATGTTCATGGTGAGCATTCTTAGAGAGTATACAACCTAATTTTTGTAGATAAATTAGGTTGTTTTGTAGATAAATTCGTCTCCTAATTTTGCAGATAAATTGCTAAGGATAGTCAACATTTATTTTTCTAATGACTAGGCAACATACTAAGCGTTTATCTCATGTCATCCCCAGAATAGCCTTCAGTGTGCTTGTTTTCTTTTTCTATAGATGACAAAAAGGCAGCTCAGAGAGGTGATGCAAGGAGTAACTTAGAGCTGGCAAGTGGCAGAATTAAGATTTCAACCCTGGGATTTTAACGCCCGGAATTTGGACTCTATGGAGAGGGTAGATGCCTTGCCCCAAATCCCACGATCAAAGGAAGGATGAAGCAGGAACTCTGGGTCCCAAGTCCCTGCCTCCCATACTCTCTGCAAAGCTTTCTGTTTGGTGACATGAATGAAGGTCATCCGAGTTAAAGAATGTCACGGGTGCCTTGCATGAAGAAAAAAAAGGAGAAAAATATCTGTGTCCTGAAATGTTGGGGAGTGGTTTCTTCATGTTGAAAATAAGTGCCTCAGCCCTGGCTGGTGTAGCTCAGTGGATTGAGCGCGGGGATGCGAACCAAAGTGTCACAGGTTCGATTCCCAGTCAGGGTACATGCCTGGGTTGCAGGCCATGACCCCCAGCGACTGCACATTGATGTTTCTCTCTCTCTCTCTTTATCTCCCTCCCTTCCCTCTCTAAAAATAAATAAATAAAATCTTTAAAAAAAAAAGGTATCCAAGTAGACTTAAAAAAATTAAAAAAAAAAAAAGAAAAAAGAAAATAAGTGCCTCGCAGCATGAAATGGACCATCGGGTTCGTGCAGGGACAGGAGGCCATTTTGGTTGCAGACTGTTGGCGCAGCCCTGGCCAAGCGACACGGTCTCCCCGGTCCGGCCTTCGGGCTTCTCGTTTGCAACGGGGAAGGGTGCATTCATATCCAAAAATATTTCTGGCTCGGACAGTTTATGAGTTCAGTGGTTTGCCTTAAACTGTCTTAAGAAGGATGGGATAGTTGGCCATGAACTCTGGGTTGAATGTTTCTGCAAGATCCCTTTTCCTTTCCCTTACAATGTGCCCTGGCAAACAACAGCCCCCGCCTGTCACCGGATGAGTTATAACTGAAGCACAGGAGAGAGCCCCACATTTCCTCACTCGTCAGCATTCATGGGAAACAGGAGTGATCTCTGGCTTTTTTTTTAGGAAACACCTAAGGACATTCGTGATGGGTAGATCTATGCATATAACTGACAACACAACCTCACTGACAGAGTTCAATAGCTCTTGCTTGTCAATTATTAGCTTCTGTGAGCAATGAAGCCAAAGATCAAAATCAAAACACAGGGTGCCCCTCGACTAGTCCGCTCCTGAGAACGACGGGAAACGTCACCATCTTTGGAGTACGGGCTCATACGTTACAGTGCCTGTTTGGAGGACATGGCACATTGAACAGCATCAGAGAATTTCTTATTAAAGTTTAATGATCACGTGCCTTCTAAGGTTGAAGAATGCCTGCCTAAGGAGAGGTAATGGGCTGAGGTAGGGACAAAGAGGACACACAGTTCTTAGGAGACTTCCAGACAGTTGATTGCTCTTGGAAGTGCCCAGTTTATCCACTAAAAAAAAAAATGCCACCCCCTTGGGGCAATAATCAGGGTTTCAATGTGCCCAAAGGTTTAAAGCTTCTCAAACTAACAGGCAAATGATACCAGGGTGAAAGGGTACTTTTAATATTTATCTATTGACCTAAAGTCACCTCAGTTACCTCCCTTCCAAGAGTCTTTGGAAATTTGACAAGGGAAAGAACAAAGACCCTAGTTACTCATCATTCTCCAGTGGCCTTACTACGTAAGTATGAGAGATGCCAGCTGATATTATGCCTATAGAGGAAAACTTAAATGTGGGAACTTAGTCAAAGAGGGTAATCAGTGGAGATATTTCAGATAATTTGGCCCAGCAAAAACATGCTTGTTCTCATAAGTAAATACTTATTTTATTATTTTTCTCACTCCCCTCACTCATTCAAATTTCGGGACAAATAACTGCCCAGGAGTGGTTTCATCCCTTTCCCCAAAATACACACAGTGGTGGAGGGAGGATGGTGGGGGAGAAAGTTGTGCACCACACCACACCACACAGAAGAAAGCACGACCAAGACATGCGAGAAGCCTGACCACTATGCACACAGAGTAAGACTCGTCTCAAAAACTTTACCCAGTGAAGGAAAATAAAATGGGTTCCTGCTGAGCACGCATCATTCAAACACAAAGGTAGACTGCAATTCGTTTTGTTGCTTGGTAGCAAGGCCTGGCAGAAGAGCAACAGGGATTTACTGTGAGGGGTTGTCTAGCTTGTCTATGACCTTGTTGCCTACTCTTGTGGGCATGGTCTTTGTTGCACGGTTACGTGGTTCAGAAGACACATTTCCAGAATCAGTTTAGGATTTCAGACTCCTCTTATCCCGGTCTGAGTAGCCTGGTCCTGTGCTACCTCGGACAGCCTGTGGCAGCCCAGGCCCTGGAACTGTTCAAGTTCCATCCGCCAATAGCCCTTCGCTGGAGGGGAATGGTTGACAGGTTAGAACTCCCCTCAGAGGCAGGCAGACCTGGGCACACACCTAAAACTTCATGCCTCTAGTCCTGTGTGTCCTTGTCTGTAAAAGTGGGAACACAGTCACATCAAGGAGATGGTGTGAGCGTTAAATGAGGCAACAGATATATACGATGCTTAGCATAGTGCTTAGAACACCTTAAGTGCTAAATTAACGTCAGCAATGTATTATCACCTGCACTATGGAAGCAAGGGCGTGCCGACTCAGACCCTCAGGGGTTGGCAGGATGTGGCCTTTTCTTCTGGGAACCATTCCTGATTTCCTAGCAGTGCTTTCCAAGATGGGAGATGAGTTTCCCAAAGTGCGCCAGTTCTCGGGAAACACTTGGATGTGTAGCCCAAATGTTATAAAAGAAACAAATTGGAGCTTTACCCGATACCTGTCCTCAGGCCAGGTGGGGGCCTGCCCTATGGGCAAGACCGCTTTAGCCTAAGACTCTTCGAGTGCTTTGAATAAATAGATCCCCAGGGTGGAGTCCCGAGGAAAAGACTTAATAGAAACATTTCACAAGGAACTGAATAGTGTTTTCAGTAAAGCCCTGCCGTACAGGCAAAATCCCTGCTGCGTCTGCTTCACTCCATGTGGCTGCCTTGAACACATTTTAAAATGAGGTGTGTTTTTTTTCCCTTTCTTTCAACGTTTCAGCCAGTTATTTGCCACTTCTCATTCTGTCTTAGTGCTCCGTGTGGAAGGTGCCAGAAACTGACGGTGCCCTGGGGAATTCTGCATTTCATAACACTAAGCTTTGGAATAAAGTCATCAACTCATTCTAGCCAGACCACGAGAAGTTATCCCTTTGCCTTGCTGGAAATCGGAGTAAAATCTTCCTATTTGTCAAGTTCAGTGACTTGGCAGCAGAATTTTGAAGAGTTATTAGAGATCAGGTTAGAGAACTTCAAGTCAATAGTGGAGAAAAAGTACCAAGTGGACCATGATAAATGTTGCTTCAAAACAATGCTTCTCACATATATTTAATCTCAAAAATAGTGTGTAGTTGTTATACATGTATGCAGGGACATTTTTTCAAATGTTTATAATCTGAGGAGCCTAGGGGAGCTTCTTGTAACTGATTGAGAGAATCTCTTCATTCTGACACATTGCCAGTCTTTTAATGGTAGGAATTATATTGTATCAATTTTGTAGGCTTAGGACCTACACATGGTAGCATTATGTAGCATATGTAGGCTTAGAATCTATATAAGAAGACATAGAACAGTGACCATAACATTAAACTGAAATATCTAGCAAGAGAGCAACTGATATTATTTGTATCTGACTTTAAACAACAAAAAGAATATGAGAACCCCTCCCTCCAAACCAATACCCAGTTTTGTTTTTTTTCCCCAACTCGGCCTCTCTCCTCTCTCAGGGAGAAGACGACCTAACATGTCCCCACTGCAGCTCGCTGGGGCCAAGACTCTAAACTGTTTGTGCTCCTGCAATAATCTTTCGAATCTGCTGGACCAGTGCAAGATCAAACACAAGGTACTCTCCAGCCTCACTGTGAAGGAACACCATGACAGCCTGGACTGTGAGTGAAGTTAATTCTTTCCCGGCGGACTCTGCTTTTCATCGTCAAGGTTGGGTGCACCTCAAACCAAGATGCCAGGGAGTCAAGAAGTCCAGGAACATTCAACCCCAACCCGTGTGGGAAGGCGTTTTGAGGAAGTTTGCAATGCAGGTGAAGATCACGGGCATTCCCGCCCCTTTAAGCAGCGAAGTGAAACATGTGCCGTGTGCTCAGAGAGACGTTAATCAACAGCGCTGGACAGAGCAGAGCTGAGAAGGGCCTTGCGGGTGTCACCATGAGAAGGTGGCCGTCCCAGCTGCAAAGCCCCATTAGAAGACACGCCGCGGCACTTTCTGCCCTGAGAAATAGTACCCTGGACATTTTCAGGAAACCTGGGCAGCTGTCTGGAATAACCCGGGGGAGCAGGCTGATGCAATATTTGTAAACCCGCAGGTGGTTGCTGTTGGTGTTGCAAAATGGAAGAGCTTTCCCCCTTCTCATTAGCATTACTTACGCAACCACAGAATTGGTCTCTGGTATCCCAAAAGGATACTCCACGGCAATATGTTCGTGACACATTGGCAATTTCTGTGGAGGGGATGGACCACACAAAAGGATGATCTGTCTACAGAATGGTTGTTTTTTCTTGCAGGGGCCTAACAAAACCTCAGAGCGCCTGCAGAGGTCCATCATCACCTTCAAAAACCCCTGTGAGTTTTCCTCCATATTTCATTGCTGATATTTTGTTAGGGACCCAACACCCCCTGGCCCCCCCCCCAAAAAAAAACTGTAAAGCAAACCAAAGGGAAAGAAAAAGCCCCCCAAAAAACATAGCCAAAGGAGGCTTAAACCCAGAAAACGTGTCCCAAGACATTCTGCATTTCCTCGGCAGAGCGGGGATGACCGAAGGGGGGAAGAGCCGGTTCTCTCCAGCCCCCCGCTGGAGAACCGTGACTGTGACTCAGGGGTGGGTCACGGTTCTACACTTCCCCTCCCCCACCTGCCTTCCAGAAACTTCGGTTCCAGCCCAGTGGGGGTCAGTGTCCAGAGGGGCACCCTCCTTTAACAGTACACTGCTTGGGAGTGGAATGACACTCGGCTCCGAGGACGGTATTGCCAGGGTTAGACAGCTGCCTGGGGCAGCAGGCGCCGATCAGAGAGAGGGCGGGGGGGGCACAGACAGCACACCAACAACGAAGAAGGCGAAGCGCCGCTAACTGCAGAAACGAGGGGCCGCTGGCAGCTGGGCGTGAGGCACAGAGTGGCCGCGTGAGCAGGCTCTGGGTGCGGGGCGGGGGCGGGGGCGGGGGCGGGGGCGGGGCGGTGCCCGGCCGGCCGCTGGCCGCTCCTGGGCGGAGGGAAAGCTCGCACAGAGTGTCAGGAAGGTGAGTGACTGAGTTGTGCTGGCTGAAGAGGGAGGGCGGGGGAAGCGGAGGAGGGGAGGTGTCGATCGGTTTTCAATAGTACCAAATTAGGACTTGCCATTTGGAGACTCCCAAACCCACAATCTGGATAAAACATGAAAATAAAAGAAAAAGCTGGGGATGTTAGTGTATTTTATTCAGATTTGTGGGTTCCGGAAGTGATAAAATAATTCATTGATCGAATACGGGTCTTATTGTAAGATCTAGAAATAAAGAGGATGATGAAACTCTGCCCCAACTCAAGTAGCAGCTATGGCACCCGTTGTACCGAATCCTGGGTGCGCAAGGAAAAAGCCATTGGTTGAAAAGCACCAACGGCCTGTGTAGCATCAGCCACAGTTTTGGTGGGGTCCAAACATCACGCTCTGAGATTCACTGGTACTTCCCGCTGAGAAAAGTTCTCTTCCAATTTATCGGGAACGTGCGTATACCGAAACGAATCATTTCTCAACTACCCTGAGGCAGACCCGCCACGGGCCTCCCGAAATCATGGGCAATTTTCATCATCCTCTTGGAGTTCTAGAAACAGTGTGGAAACCAGGAGAATAAGGTACCTGCTATGTGGACTGCTGACAGAGGGTCCAGGCTGAGAGGGACTACATTTGCCTCGTGGCTGTTTGCAATGAACAGGGGTAAAGAAAGAAGAATGTTCAGTCCAGGCAAATAAAGACGAGCTACTGATGAAAACTAAACTAAAAGTGCGGCAAAGGGGAAATAAATCAAACCAAATGATCAGTATCCGTGATCAAGGAAACTGGCTTTTCTTTTGTAGGAAAATAAAAATGAAACACATTTACATCTATGCGGCTAGTCATTAAAAAAACATAAATTGGGGTTTGAAAGCCCACACTACAGTGGGTATATTTCCCCCACTTGTCACGGCAGAAACTAAAGTGACTGCCTGTTAGCCAAGAATCTCTGCATATTCACTCATAACCAAAATAAAGTTGAATATACCATGCCACACCATATTTTTTTTTATCTTCTAGAACACCAAAACAGTACTAAAGTTCTTGATGGAGAAAAAATAATAACAACGGTAATAGGAAATTTCTCCTTGTAGAATGATGAGGACCCAACAGTTTAAATACATAAAGGCTAACATTTGAATGGAAAAGCCAGTATTCCTTCACATTCTTAAACTAGGATCTATAAGGAAACTAGTGGAATGTAGCAAAAAAAAAAATCCTAAAAAAGGTCATAACATTTATCAGCATAGAACTTAGGTGTTTATCACAAATAATAACAAATGAAATCGATACTTCTAAAAACTAAGGGAAATGAAATGGTAACAAAAATGGATATAATCATAAAGCAGGACAAAAAATAACGAAAACAAGCTTCTAATTACACAGAGAAATCAAGGTATAGAGGGTGGCGGGGGCCGGATTGGCTTCTGTGTGCCGGGGAGACAGCAGCCCCCGCGGGCCTGGTGGCGGGCAGGCAGCACCGTCTCTGAAAACCTTCAGGACCACTCAGGAGCTTTTTGGCTTGAGAGTCAACAGAACCTCCACTTATCTTACAAATTCAGCGGCTTCATGAGACGCTTTTGTCCACCTTTGCCTGAGGCACCCTTTTCAGGGGAGCCTGTTATTTTTTAGGTGGACGAAGGCAGTGGTGGTCTGAAGGGTGGCGCCACCCAAGGGATCGGCAAGTATCGTTCTAGACATGGCCCTTGGAGCAAGAGAGATAATTTGCCTCCCTGCGTACCAAGGACACCTCGAGCCCTGGTTCATTTGAAAAACGGAGCCACTCCTTTCTGTTCCTGAGTGTGGGTGGCAAGGGCCCGTGGCAGGGATGCAGGAACAGAGAGAGCTTCACTGGGTCACTGCGGCAATCCCCTCTGGACGGGGACTTCTGCTTCAGGGTGGGGGAGAGCCTGTGGACCCTGGTAGGTACAGATACTGTCACTCCCTGGTGTCCCCTCCCACGGGCCAATGACCAGTGGACAGTTACCGTGCTCTGTCTGTTTGGGGTGCTTCTTCCTGACGTAGGACTCACAGATTCCGAGGTGTCCAGCTCATCAGCAGACGACCAGGAGGACAAGTCCTATGTGGGAAACAGAGTCTTTTGATGACTCCACATCCCAGAGCCACGAGGGCCTTGCAAGACACAATGTGTTCCCCCCCCAACCCCCTTCCATCCCTCATAAACACCAAACCATTCATTCTTCGGGAAAAACAGAATCAGACAACTGCAAGAAGATTGCAACCTAGTCTTTCTAGCACAGTGGGCTCTCCTGACTTAAGTTTGTCCTTTTTGGAAACCATGGCTATAGGATTGTTATTACTATGCTTTTTTTTCTTTATTATTTCTGAGCGATGTGATGGGAGTGAGTTGAAGCGGAGGAGGTGAAGGGAATCTGCCTTAGACCTTCAGCCCGCTCAGGCCAGAGAAACCGATTCATTTGAATTAGAAACGAAGGAAGACTTTCCACCCAGGAGGCTTTGAGCGTCGGAGAAGTTGTGCTGTTTTCAGCACTGCTGTCTCGATTGGACTCGATTGTTCTTTGACTTTCTTAAAGGAGGGCAAAGTGTTTGTGTGTTTGTAAGGGTGTTATTTCACAACTGAATGGAGTTTTACCAAGCAGATCTCTACCCGCACAGGCATTTCTCCAAACCACAACCACCACCATGATGCAGCAGACTGAAGAAACAAATAAAAAATAAACGAGCAGAGGGCATTTTCTATGAATTAATTGCTGTTTACGTCAGGAGAAGGAATTCAACCTCCTAGGTTGAATCCTATGCAGTGATTGGTTGTGATTTATCATAGCCACATTATAGAAAACATGTGACTTCCTAAATAAACAAGGTAAAATAAAATGCCACCATAGTTAGTCAGTCAGCAGTAACAATTACGGGAGGTCTCTTGGATGTAATGGAATGACAAGCAGTGTTTTATTGTACAAATTTATGGGTCCCTTTTTTTGTTTTGAGACACAGCTTGCAGGCGCTGTGATGGGGGGTGGGCACTCTGACAAGCACTACATTCAAAGACTGCCTAAAACGAATACAGATAATGCTTCTTTGGTGCCCTGGGAGAAATGCCACACAAGGATATCTGCCTAGAGCTTACCTGCTGACTGCTTGACATGTCTAGCAACTTCTCCAGCTCCTTGAGGTGACGGCTGACTTCCTTCAACAGAAGTTTGAGCCGATTTCCAATCACGTGGACTTTTTCTTTGGCTTCTAAACAGTCCGTGCCTTCAGTGTTCACCAACAGTTGGCACGACATGTCTTGCAGCGAGGCCACTTTGAGTTGGGATTCCAGTAGCTCCTGCCTTATTTGCTGTGTATGCAAGAAATATTTTTGTGAGAATTGTTGATAAGTGGAGAAAGTCTCTCCGGTGCAGAATGACATCCCTCTAGCTCACTGGGTAATTACACCTGAGTATCAGAATGCTGTGTTCACACAAAGAAGGACACAGCTGCCCACAGCTTTTGGGAATCGGGGACCTGTGTTCTAGTCTTGCCTCTGCCAAAAAGCATTCTGTAAGACTCCTGAACTTCCCTGATGCGAGTTTTCTCCTTTCGGTAAAATGATGATACTGCCTGGTCCACTCTAAGTATTCTTGGAAGGTTCAAATTAGTAAGTATATGTGAACGTACTTAAAATATAATGTATTATGCAAATGAGACATAAGATATTCTTTTGAAAAGAAGAGGAAAACATTACCATAAGTATAGCAAACCTCAAGTGTGTCTAGGTAGATGCTGATAGCTGTTCAAGATTTTTAAAAGATATACAGGTGATTTATCATTCACCACTTAAGCCTGAGGTCAAAGGTCTAATGAAAATGCAGTCGCAGAGTTATTTCCTTTTCCTCTAAGACCTTCACGGTACTGAACTAAAAGCTACCAATTCTGTTGGTAGGCTCAGTGAGTGTTAAATGTTAAGAAATAGCATTTTAAAAACACAGAAAACGACAAAATTCAAATCATTTTCTCCTAATGGGACGTAAATATGCTTCTTTATCTCCTAGAAAATCACTTAATGCACTGTACATTATATTGTCCTAAGTTCTTTGTATAAAGGATCTACACAGAAATTCTGCAAGTTCCCTTGTGAATTTAGTGCTAGAAAAAGTGTCTTGCGCCTTGAGAACGAACTGGTGTGCTTTCTTTTTGTCAGATAATGAAAATAAGTGAACGCATCCCATTTCCTAATGATGAGTTTGGTACACTTACAAACCACTTGATATACCTTTGGGACATAGATGTAACAAGTACAGTTTAAATAAAAAAAAAACAAGTGTAATTCACCAAACACCTGCTTACACAAAAACAAATGAATTAAGACTAAAACCTCTAAGAGTTCTACGATGGAGCAATGAGTTTAGAATCAGATTTTAAAGCTAGTGGATGTCACCTTCCATGCATGTTTGCGCCACAAAAACTGGAAAACCTAAGAAGTACAGTGCAATGAACTTAGAGACTATAGCTAAAAAGGTAAAAAATAGTACCACCTACGTTCTTTTTCTGTAAACGAAATGGATGGCTGCTAAAAAGGACCAGAGGCTGCCCGAGTTCGCACATCTTACCATAAGCTGTTTGTGATGGTCCTGAAGGGTCTCTGCATCGAGGTGAGAATTGATGGGAACGATTTCATTCTTCCTTCTGTCGATGTTCTCCAGCATGAGAAGCAAACCATGACTCATTTCATGAAAATCCTAGGCAGAAACCAGACAGCATGAAATCTCTGTGAATAATAGATGTTTCCTTCCCTCACAAACTAAATGTCCATTCTTGACAACGGCTACCACTGGCAAAGATACTGTACTTTGTCACCTACAATGCACACATTTCTGCTCAAAATTTTGAGGGGAAAATAAGGATGTGTGAAATACATGGATATAATGATTACACACCACGGGCATGACGATTCCATGTATAATGCGCACAAAATGCAGATGCGCGTATGGCAAAAGTACGTTGGTTTTAAGATCTTAGACACAACTCCTTTCTGAGGAAGGTACTTGCACTCGTAATTATCTATCTGAGTTCACATTCTTACCAAAATCATCTAATTTATTACTTGAGGGTAAATTTAGACAAGGAAAGTGGGCCCAAAATAAAAGATACTAGAGAAATTTCTAGGGCTATTATATAGTTTGGAAACGAGGCAACTCTGCTCCATTCTTTTCTCCCTGAATTCAGATCTTTCTACCTTTTAAAGCCTGAACCCAGTCCCTTATGTCCCTCATCCACCCATTTGCTTATTCATGTATTCAAAGTTCCTGAGCATCTCCCACGTGGAAGGCACGGTACTAGGATGGCTGCAAGGTTGAAACAACAGCTTGGGTACCTGCTTTCAAGGACCAGGTGCTCTTGGTGTACCTATAAATCTGGAAAGCAGGCTTTGCATCCTGAAAGGGCTTCCCTTCATGCTCGGAATACAGTCCGAACTCCTGGCCAGGTCACACCACGCCCCGCGTGGTCTCATTCCTGACCACCGATCTGATCTTTCTTCTCACTCCCTGACTCTCTGATCACACTGGCTTCGATTCCGTCCTTAAAGACGTGAAGCCTTTTCCATGTGTTCTATCTCTTCCATGGACACATCCTTCCAATGTCAGCTCAGAGATCCTTAGGACTTCCCTAACCACTCTCCTGAAGTGGCTTTTCTCAGTTATTCTTATCGACATCTATAAGGATCTTGCTTAACCATTTAATTGCATTCTTATTGTCTGTTTTCCCCAACAAAAGTAGAGGCTGTGCTGTATCCTGACTGCTTAGTGCAATATCTGTCAGACAGTGGACCCTTGGCCAGTGTGGTATGAATGAATGAGTAAGCATTCGTAATGCTCACTTGGATGTTCAAGAACTGTCTTCCTATGTGCTCAGGAAAGGGCTGCTGAATGAATGAATGAAATGAATGACTAGAAGAAGGAATGGTGGGGCTGCGACAAACTTGTGAAAATAGTCCATTGTCAGCTGGACAGAAGATGGGGTCTAGCTGCCTTGAACTCCTGTTCCCATGTACAAATTCTCCAGTAAAAGGAAAAGTTTGAGCACAATATTATCTCATTCAGATACCGACTTCAGGGAGCAATGTGCCTTTCTAGTGACCCTGACAAACCAAGCCACCGGCCTGGCTACACGGGAAATGAGTGACTCTGGAACATGGCCCGCCCAGAGCCCCACGGACCTGACATTGCATCAGGGCGTCCTGGAGCAGACCCCGCCACTCGTCCAGCAGGGAGCACACCCGGTCCCAGCGCGCGTTCATCTGGGACAGGCGATCCTGCAGGGCCCGGCTCTCCTCGCTGCCAGTCCGGGTGAACTCGGAGCTGCACAGGTTGATGGAGAGGATGATGGCTTTGCGGTGGTCCACAGCTTTCTGGAGCTCCTGGAAGGAGAAAGGAGAACGACCACACAAGGAAAATAGTGACAAAAATATTTAACCTTGGAAATGCCTCACCCAAATAAAAAGATCCATGAATTAAAACTGGCCTTAACAGGACGGCTAGATAAGATGCAGTGAGTTCACACCACTGAGAACCACAGTGCAGGTAAAGGAAATGGTTTAGATGTACACTTGACCAGACAAATAGATCTCAATAAAACACAGTGTCAAGGGAAAGAATTGGAAACAGAAGGATATGTGCAAAGAAACAGCATTTCTGTAACTTAAAATTCATGAGCACACACACAAATCTACCTTTTTCATGAATACACAGGAACAAAGAATCCTCACTAGCCCTGGCTGGTGTGGCTCAGTGGATTGAGCGCTGGCCAGCAAACCAAAGGGTCGCTGGTTTGATTCCCCGTCAGGGCACATGCCTGGGTTGTGGGCCAGGTTCCCCAGTGGGGGTGCATGGGAGGCAGCCACACATTGTTGTTTCTCTCCCTCTTTCTCCCACCCTTCCCCTCTGTCAAAATGTAAGTAAATAAAATCTTAAAAAAAAAAGAACACTCATTAGATATTTCAGAATGGTTGCCACGGGTTTGAGGAATGAGGATTAAGAAACATGTGTGGAAAGGAGGATATATACATAACAGTAAGAGGAACTTTGTAGGAAGCGACGTGATCCTGAAATAAGAAGTATGATGGACTCCAGCCTAGGCATGGGATTTTAACAACCAAGCAAAACAAAACAAAACAAGGCTCCAATAGTTCTGAGCAGCAGGAAATGTGCTTTTTGTCCCAGTGTAAGAATCCTGTTTCAATAGACCAATGCTACTCAAAGTTCTGGGCATAAGAATAAAATGGGAAGCTTGGTAAAAGAGCAGAGTCCCAGGCCCTGGCCCCCAGCTGTCCTGACTCCGTGGGCACAGAGAGTGGCCCACAGTCTGAGGATGCTGCCCATGTCATAGGCCACCTTCCTGTGATGGTTAAGAGAGTGAATTGGTGATTTCATCAGCTAACCAATTGAATTTGATTACAGAAACACATACACACACACACAAACAGACAACCGATTTCTTACTTTGTTCATTTCCTAAAAATCTAGAACTAAATTCCAGGAACTTGAGCACATGATCATGTACTAAGAGTTGAGTAGCTGGATACTGCTCAAACAGCTTGAGGTCAGGTGAGGGTGAGCGATCCCGCAGCTGACACCTAGCCAGCCTCCAGTCTCCTGTGATTTCTCACGTTTCTGTGATGTTTCCTATTTGTCTTAATTTTCAGCTTTCGATAGCTTCTTAACATACTGAATATAGATTCAACCACAGAGTTAGGATAAGATGGAGAGATGCTGTGGAAAGACACTTGGTTATCCCACAGATTTATCCTCAGGAAACAGACAGGATTCAGGGGACGGTTATGGAGAGGGTGGCTTTGTGTGTGTGCGTCACACAGGCTGATTGTCAAGGTCTCGCTTCGCCACCCTAATCTCCCTTAGGTCTCAGGCTCTGGTCAGCATTCGCTTTACCACCTTTGTAAGGAATTTGGTTTTAATGCAACACTGCGTTACATTTTCCCGGAGAGACACTAGAGGAATTTAAGTACTCCAGAGAGAAATGCATTTTATAATCCAGATAATGTAAATTGCATCTCTCATCTGACACTTCATCCTGAAATTGATGGGGCTGGTACAAAGGCTCATTTCTCTGTTTGAAAATTTAAAATACAACCACCACCAAAGCAAGCCCCAAAAGCAACACCCCCAGATAAACAGCATACACTGAAACCAGGGAGACACAAAAGCATGGTGCTTAATCCTTTGAGCCTGGAGAGTCTGGGTAGGTGCATTCTGGGGAACAGCACACCTTGATGTTCTCCAGACAAAAAGACAGAATCCAAAGAGCTGTTGAAAAGAAATTGTAGTACAAAAGTCTACACGTATCAGTGCATTTCAATTGCTGGGCTGAGGAGGGTTTCTGAGATCCAGAGATGGAGTTGAAGGAAGTGATCTCATGTACTATATCCATACAGGAAATGTCAGGTGTTTTATCACAATTACTCCACATTTTGTCTTGTTTTATTCATTACAAGGGGCAATTGCTTCTGCCACTGCTAGAGACTGTTTCAGAAGTTCCGCAGAATCCAGAATGTTAATTGATTTCATTAGGTCTCCACCACCTCACACAGATAAAGTCTTGGAGAGCATTCATCTCCATCTCTAGACGGAGACTTGTTGGAACCTGGTAATAACATCCTGGTTTCCCTCAGAAGAGGCGAAATAGATCCTAGAGGTACCTGGATGGTTCATAAAATTTTAATCGATCCTTTAAAAATACCAATTCATAGCCCTGGCTGGCGTAGCTCAGTGGATTGAGCGCGGGCTGCGAACCAAAGTGTCACAGGTTCGATTCCCAGACAGGGCACATGACTGGGTTGCAGGCCACAGCCCCCAGCAACTGCACATTGATGTTTCTCTCTCTCTCTTTCTCCCTCCCTTCCCTCTCTACAAATAAATAAATAAAATCTTAAAAAAAAACCCAATTCATTAAACCATACATGATTATTTACTTGGGGGGCTACTTCTACAACGTGGTCCACTTTTCTGCCCTTCCAAACCTTCTCTACAGACACTGACTGGGGACAGCTGGGGGGAGCTAATACAGCATTCAGGCCCTTGTATGATAATCTCCCTGTGGCCGAATCATAGCAGCACAGCTAGAGCTCGCGGCCCCATCTGCCCAGGCTCTCGCAGCTTTCTGTCTGGCCACGTGGGAGAGGCCCAGGGCAGCTCACCTTGAGCTTTCTGATTTGGAGCTCGATGGACTGGATGTCGGTGCTGAGCTCCAGGCGCCGTAGCTGCTCCAGCTCCTCCTCCGTCGCCCGCAGCCAGGTGCAGATGTTGTTCAGGTCGGAGCCGAACTGCTGCCACTTCTGGAGGTTCTGCTTCATCCTCCGCTCCTTGCTCAGGGCCTGCGCCTGGATGAGCTCCCACCGGTCAATCACACCTGGCAAGACATGACGGACACACCATCGCGGGGTGTGTTCTGCCACGCATCACGTTCAGGAGATGCTTTAAACATGCACTGGTGGCTGACTTTCGAGAGCAACAGAAAGAAAAGTAATTCTACTGGGCATGTCTGTTGTGGACAGCTGTAAATAACCGTCATAACTGTGTCCTTCCTACCTGCATATTTAATGGTAATGGTAATGAAGTAAAAAAAAAAGAACCATATCAGGTTTAACATTGTAAAGAGTTTTACGAAGGAGCAAGCAGCAGTGTGAATGAAGACAACATTCAGTTCTTGATTTCTTTCTGCTACAGACCTCGGAGAGCATGCATGCAAAACACCTGACCAGGGATGTTAGAGGCAGTGCTTCAGAATAGATGGGACACCACCCTCCTGTGTCCCAGGAGATCACTGGGACACAGAGAGAAGGTCTCAGGACGGAAAAGTGGGGATGAGGTAAGCAACCCTTAAGTGCAACAAGGTGCTTCCGAATCTCGCATTTCCCTCGGTCTTGACCTGAGCAGCACGCACTCACCTGCTGTCTGGGTTTCAGTGCTGTTCAGGTTCACGAAGCCGGGAAAGTTCTCCTCTTCCTCCTTCAGCTTGTGCTCCAGCCTCCTCACCGAGTCTATGCTGCCGCTGCACTCGGCCAGCAGCTTCATCTGTCCAGACACAGAAAACAGGCCCCATCACCAGAATTTCACGTTCCCACGAGTGCGAGAGCTTCTAGGGCACATGGCTTTGTAGGTCCTCAAAAAGGACAGTGGCTGTGTCTTACTCCTCTGTGGCCCCTCTGCTAAAATGAGGTCAAGTTCAAAAACATGCTTCCTAAACATGTGACACCTTCATATCTACATAAAGCAATGCCTGGAAGATTGCATTATGTGGTTTTGCACGCGCGATTTTGCATGAGAAGTCCTCAAAATTTCTTTGAAATTTATGAATCGAGGCTGACTAAACCCGTCTTAGGGTTAAACTCAGGGCCCTCAGCTGGTATTACATTACACAATTTTTGGCAGGTTGCTCCCTTTTCCTTAAACTGAAAAGTGGAAACAATAATATTACCACAAATCTCGAAGGAACATTTTTTGCATTAAATACTTAAAATGCTTAAAATCATAAAGCAATATTAAAACCAGCTGTTTTATGAGAATTAAGCCTGGCTTAATGGGTATTAAGGGAATAAATTCTCACATCAAAGGAGAAGCTTCCTATTCCACATTTAGTATGCACAGTATTCAAAAATTAAAAGAACAGCTCATTTTAAGGCAGTCCTACTATACTGACCATAAAGTCATCTTTCAAAGCCTTTAACAAATCACACTGCTATTCAGTGACTTTGATGGCTTTTGACTGAAGCTGAGTATAATCTCAGTGATGCCAGCCTGGTCTTCAAGAAACTGTATTATGTTTTTAAAAAAAGAGGTTTCACTATAATAGAAGTTGGTATAATAAACAGGTCAGATCGGACAGGAAATAAACTCATGATGGATCACTTTTCTGTAATCATGAGGGTATGAACATCAGTGTATGTAACTGGAAAGGTTCGCTTCTCTGGTTTCAAAAAGCAGTATGGCTGAGCTGTCATTAGACTTCAGGAAACTAATTCTCCTTTCATTTTACTAGGAAATCTTTGGGGAGGGAAGAGAAGATATGAAGTGTGGGAGATAGTTACTTTCAGCCGCTCTTGTTTAAATATATACAGGAAAACAGGCGGTTCTCTGCGAAAAGTTCATTTGGGCAGTAACTTGAGAAGAACAAATAAAATCATTACATACTTTACTAAGAGCTTCAAAAAAAAAAAAAGGATCAGTAACATTCACAATCCCTTAGCATCTTTTCCACAAATTCCTCTTGTTAGGGTTGTTTTCTGCAGAATGAGCATGCTAAGAATGGAGGAGAAAAACATTCCCAAGGCCATCCAGTGAATCAATCAACCCAGGAAAAGAACTAAATGAATTCCCTGTCAGTAATCTATTAGCTAAAATCTGCTGCTCCAAGGATAGCCGTGGTCCAAACATTATTAGCGGAATTTGGACAAACGCCTAATCACTTTCGGGAACCAAAGCATTCTGCTGCTTTCACATAAACGGATCTCACTGAGTTCTCTGTGTCACAGAGCAGGCCGGTCATTACAGCAGGTTAGTGGGCTTGATCACGGTCCAGACTGGCTCCAAAGGTAAGCTGCTAACAGGGTTATGTTTTGCACATCCATGCCTGTGAGTTCAAGGGCAGCGTGGTGTCTGGGGAGCTCAGACAGCCCTCGTGCCCCAGACAAATTGTTCTTTGTCACACAAGCATGACTTGCAGGTACCTGTCTGGACCCCTGAGGTCAGGATACTCACGTAGCCTCGGTAGCTGGTGTCCAGCTCCGGTCCTGTGGGAGTTTTGCTGCGGATGACATCCTCGGTTTGCTGCATCTGAAGGCGGCTGTCGTCCAGGGCTTTGTCCAGCTGGCGGAGACGCGATTCTAAGGCACTGGGATCCCCTGCAGGGTCAACCACAAGACTTTTTACAAGCTTCACAAGCTTGACATTTAAGAAGTATAAGAAATTATTTCAGTGAAAGCTGTATAAAAAGAGTTCATATGTGGGTAATTACAAAGCGGCTTTAGTGCTAACGTGCTGGTAGGTTAGAGATTTAAATGACTAGACCAACGAATGAGCTTGACTAAGAGTCCTAGCCGATCGCATATTACAAAAGGGCTCTGCGGTGGGTCCTAGCAGCCCCTGGGCCTGCTCCCCGTGACGGCTGATCCCCTGAAAAGTCTGCGTGTTGTGAGGGGTGGGAAGCCTTTCCAGAACCTTCCCTGGTGTCTCCTGCTCCCCAATAACTACAAAGTGGTTATTTCCCCTTTCCCTCTGCAAACACTTAGAAAGCAGAAAAAGATACATCCTCTAATTTTTCTTTCTGCATCTCAGTACGAGACGGCGCCACTTCTGTGCCAGGTGGCCACGCCATGCACTGAAGACATGACTTCAAGTTAACCAAGAAAAGACTCGCTCAAGATAGGTATGCATGGAAACGCCAAACTAGCAAGGGCTTGCTTTTGTATTTAAGACTTGAATCAAAACCAGGAGAAAGCTGAGATTTTATTACTAGCATTTCCCTCTAGGCTTGCTCTTACTCATAGCCCAGAACTCCTGGCTCACTCTCCTTTCAGAGATGTAACACCTTTTAGCAATTTTTTTTGTGTGCATGCACGCATGTGTGTGTGTGTGTGTGTACTGCAGTCTTGGACTTGAACAAGAACATTGATTAACAGAGTGAGGCTAGCACAGGGTGAAAGCAGAATGCATATTAGTAAGCCTTATGATTTTTTTAATTTAAAAAAAGGTCTCCCAAAGACACCTGGAAGAGGCCTCGCACTGGGAATCCCCCAGCCAGAGTCACCATTCCATTGATGGCCCCTCACTTCCTGCCCTCTTGCTTTCCTCCAACACCTGCGTGGAAACTAACAACCCCGCAATTCACTGTCACATGACTGTGTTCCAGCCCTACTCTCCACCCTCCTCTGAATTACTGACCCTGTGCTACACACAGCTTGCCTAGTGCAACATTAAACAAAACCGGTTTCCTTTTTCTTTCGTTAATTGTTCTTGCTCCAGGAATCACTGTGTCCTGAAAGAAAAAGCTGGGACTCAAGATACCGTGGGATACATTTTTCCTCTTAAATGATTTTATGTGTGGTTAAGACTTACTAATTAAAATCTGCAGAGAGCTGAACGTCTGGTCCCGCTCCTTATCTAATATGTGACCCCTGAGGGGAGGAGGATGCGCAGCAGGCAAGAGGCCCGAGGCCACACAAGCAGGCTAGTGGATTCGGACCCAAGCCCTGAGCCCTGCCTCTCCAGCCAGAGGGGGATGGGTGACCCATCAAAGTGATCAAGCCAGAGCTGCTACATCAACCGGGGGACTAAGGCACAAATGCCGGAGACTAGGGTTTCTGCGGTTAACAGACATCACAGGTCTCTACTCTACTAGTTGGGAAGTTATTTCACTGCCCTTGATTATTCAGATCTCACTTCTGGTGTTGATCACACTGAACAGTTGTTTAGTTTCATTTGTTTTTTGTCTCCCTGGTACAGCAGTCAGAGAAGAAGGTTCTGCCTTCACACGCTTGTGCCCCAGAGCCGTGAGAGCGACAGGGGCTGTGCTGGGAGGGGCTCGCTACAGGTGAGGGAGGGAGGCCGGCTTGGGCCAGGAGTGCCCACCAGGGCTCTTTCTGATGGCACTTTCTGTGGGTTTTACATAGGCCTCAGGACTCTCGGGGACCATTACGTCTGCAAAGAGAGCACAGTCTAAGCTGACAGATGAGTTCTGGAAACACTGATTCCCTTGTGGCACGAAAGCCACCTGCCTAGGGGAAAGAAGGGTTAGTCATCGCCGACAGATAGCGCCTGAGCACGCTCACCAGAGTTTTCCTGGAGTGAATCGTAAGAAGGGCTCACATTCACGAAGAGTGCTTACGAGCCAGACACGGTGTCAAATACTCATTTATCCTGCTGGTCACATGGGAGTGTCATTCCCATGCCACTGATGAGAAAACTTACGTCCAGGAAAATTAAGTTACTTATCCATGTTTCAAGGGCTACGAAAGAGGCAAGACGGAAATGCCGACGAGCCAGACAGTCGGACTCTAGAGCAGGGTGGAAAGAGGCCAATCATAAGGGCGGGAGCCACACCTGTGGTTTCAAGGGCTCTAAAAGCCACGTGAAAAAAAGTAATGAGAAATACTTGAAATACTTTTAGTGCCTTATTTTACCAAACCAATACATCCAAATTATATGTGTAGTCAACATATTAGTGTTTAAGACCTTTCTTTGTGTAAGTCTTTGAAATCCATGTATTCACGTAATGCGTCTGACGCGGCAAATGTCAAGTGCAGTCACGTTTCAGTGCTCGACCGTCACATCGTGGCCGGGGGCTACACAAGGAACGGCGCTGCGTTAGATGCCAAACCCCTGACTACGACGCGAAACGACGAAGACAAACGAGAAGTGAGAGGAACCACATCTCTCACCAAGATGCCCCAGCCAGAAAATCGCCTCAACCCCAAGTCTATTAATCATCAGTTACGAAGGGGACTTATGATTTGCCATGTCCCTTTCATTCTCGCTGGTTCCAGTGCTGCTTCCTCAGTTCGGGCCACCGTCCCATCTCTGTCCTGGATTCTAAAACGTTTCCATTGTCCATCTTTCCCTCCCAGTGCACTCCCCATCATATGGTATGAAGGCAGGTTCTTAGCAAATGTGCATCTGATCACCTCGCCTTCCTCCTCAGGGCCCTGCTGTGGCTGCCATTACCTTCAGGACAAAAGCCAAACTCCTTTCCGTGTGAGAAGTCTGCTTCATGCACCAGGTCTTGGTTTGCCCTTCCATTTCTTCTTTGCCCACTCCTATGCTTCCCGATCTATAGCCTCGGTATTCTAGACAGACTCAAGTGACCAAAAGCACTGCGGGAGTCATAAAGCTGGGGTGGGTGTCCTCTCCTTCTCCCTCTGAACATTGCTGCATCCACCTGACCAACTCCTATTCATCCTCCAGGTCTCAGCTCAAGAGTGCCTTCCCTACGGCTGGTCCTCAGAGCTCCGGGTTAGCTGCCCCTTGGCTGTGCTCTGTACCTCCCCGTGCACATTGCTACCCTAGTGCAAACATGTCCTGAGTGTAAGGAAAGGAGCTGTGTGTTCCTAGTGTTTGGCGTAACACTTGTCACATACTAAGACCTTAAGTATCTGTGGGATAAGTCGATGGCCATGCCAACTTTTGTACTTCATAACCCCACGAATATCCAATGTTTCCTTACGTACAACTTCCCCTGAGGGGAAAAGGCAGAAGAGGATTCTGCTGAGCTCGCATGTTCCCAGGACAATATCCACTTTTGTGGATTATCCCTTTTGTTTCCCTTCGCACTGAAATATAGGGAGAACGCTTTCCTACCTGATAAGCCAACGGCTCCCCTGTGGTAGAAATCTTTGTCTTCTTGGCCCTCTTCGTCCTCAGAGGTCAGAGTTCTGGACACGGCAGACTCCAGGTCACGACTGAGGTCGTAGTCATGGTCCCACTCCAGGGGGATGGAGTCCACGCTGGCAGGGGTGTCTCGTCCTGACCGCTCGCTCCGGAGGGGCTGGGCGAGTGAGAGGGAGTGGTTGGAGGAGGGCTGCGGGGACAGCGCGCTGTCCGCAGAGGTGTCGTGCCAGTGGAGGTCCGACAGAGCTGCGGAGTCATCCAGCTGCAGCTCCCGGTCGGAGAGGTCGTGCTCGTCATCTGGCAGCTGGAAATGCAGTCAAGCCAACTCTGTTACTGCAGCGGTCGGACGGGCCTGACCGCCGTCCGCTCTACCTTGCACCGGATCTCAGAGTGCAAGCCTATGCGGGTCTCACTCCTGCCTCAGGGGGGACAACTCTGAACTTCCTACTGTCAGGCCAACAGGCTTGTGATGACCCATGGACATGGACAGCAGGGTGGGGACTGACTGTGGGAGTGGGCAGAGGAGGGCAAAGGGGGGGAATTGGGACAACTGTGATAGAATAGCAATAAAATATATAAAATTAAGGAAACAGAAATTTGCCACAAAGATAATTCTAGCAGGAAAAGGAAACAATAAAAGAAGTGGAAACCCCAGAACAACAACAACAAAAAAAGAATCTTGTGATCGCTTTTAGAAGCATCTTATACATTCATCTGACAAAGCCTCGGTTTTATCAGCGCTAAAGTGGAAATACTATTAAAACCAACTTCAAAGAATTGGTGTGACTGTAAGTAAGATCGTGCAAATAGAGGCAACCTCGTACCATGCTGGCCACACAACACATACACAATGGCACACGTCAGGAACAGAGGCAAATGACTAATAAAATCTTAGCTTGTCCTTTTTAAACTTCTATCCCAGATACAAAATACACTTTAATGCAGAGTGCTCCAAAATATTCCAATAGTAACATCTCAACTTTGACATGTGATTATGGCAGCAATTCGGCAAACGGAAGTGGAAAAAAAGTCAATAAAACAACCTCATCGAGTGAGCAACTATTCACGGTGCTCCCTTCCATCTCCTTGCTCCTTCTAGAAGCTTCTTCCCTAGAAGATACGTGCCAACTACTTTTTCAAGCTCTCTTTCTACCTATCCTTATTTCATGCCCCAAACAATACCTTCCACAAGGTAGGTACTCTTCTTAAACCAGTTTTACAGTTGAGGAAACTGAGGCAAGGTACAGAAATGACGTGTCGAAGGTTGCGTAGCCAACACATGTCAGAGCTGGCACTGGAACCCGGCCACGCTGCATCCAGTGTCTGGGCTCTGAGCCACATGCTCCCTGACCTCCCATAAGTAATTCTCTAGCTTTCACGACAATGAAAAACGGTGGTACATACAGGCAGGCGAATCAGTTTCTTGTGGTATCTCTCCACGCGCCCGAAGACCTCCTGACAGTAGCGCCGGAGCTCGTCCAGCTCCTCCTCGATGAGCGCCGCATCCAAGGGCTCACTCTTTTCAATCAGCTGTTCTCCCTGGGCGATGATCTGCTCGATCTTGCTGTGGTTCAGCGAGATTTCCTGCTGGAAGGCCTAGGGAGCACACGCCTTGTGTGATTTTTATTGCTCGCATTGACACGACACAATTATGAGATACGTATTTAAGAAAAACTGTGGAGGGGATATTGAATTCCCTGCATACAAGCGACAAGCCAAGAGGCTTCTCTGTAAAGTAGTAGTTTTATAAAGTAAAACATAAACATTTTAAATCAGCACATGAGCTGCAAATGGAATTGTTAGAATTTCATGACTGGAAAAGGTACTTTTGGCTACTAAAGTCTACTACCATGGACAGGGCGAGCAGAGGATCACAGGAAAAAGCATTCAGACTCAGTATGGACCTGATAGCACTGGTTGTCCCTAATAAAAATCAGCTGTAATCATTATAGTGCCATTAAAATAACTGAAGCGCATTAGAGAAATATCCTACATATTTCAATTTTAGATTTCTTGATCGTACATCATCCACAACTAAGAGAAACCAAGCCAATGACAATTTCACAAATTCTTCTCAGGTGATTTTTAGTGTTTCAGGACATAAGCAGGAAAGACAAAAATCGTCTGAAAAATGAGGAGTTCTGGAGGATCATTTAGACTCATTCTACCTGGTTCAAAAGAGTTAAGCTCCTTGGGACAAGTTTCAGGCGATACATTTTAATTCACAAGAATAAACCTTGGAATAATCAAAACTGTCCAATAATGAAAAAAGACCGTGAGGGGAGATGAGAAGGTGCTAATAAGATCTATGATTCTGCCAGGGTCCAAAAACATAAAAAACAAAGACTCAACTATCACTTGGAAGACATTTCCTGCCAAAGGTTTCAAATATCAATTTGCCGTAAAACGACGTGGGCGAGTCAGGGAGGCAGGGAAGGAGAGGGGTTGGGCAGAACACAGAGTTAACTCTTTTATGATTTTTTTCATCCTGATAATATGACATTAAAGGTCATTCTTGTTTTATTGCAATGACCTAAGGTTGTGGGCATTATGATTATGTCTTTTTAAATCTGTTTAGCTATTTTAGAAAGAAATTTCATAAGATGCTTTGGAAATTATTGAAACTGTTCAATACACTTTCCTTTAGAGACTCCTTCCATCTAATGCATGATGTCCCTCCTATTCAATGTTTAACTAGCCACTGTGGTTAAATTATACAGCGAAGTGTGCAATCCGAAACACCTGAAGAGTCCTCCAGTAAAGGGTTGGATAAAGGATATGTGGTACATCTACACAATGGAATGCTACTCAGTCATAAAAATAATGAAATATTGTCCTTTGTGACAAGGATGGACCTTGAGAATATCGTGCTAAAAGTGAAATTAAGTCAGACAGAAAAAGTCAAGAACCTATGATTTTACTCGTATGTGGGATATAAAACTGAAAGTAACAAATAAACAAACACGACAAAGAGAAACTCATCGACACAGACCACAGTTTGGTGTTCACCAGAGGGGAGGGGCTCGGGGGGTACTAAAGGGTAAAGGGAATCAAATATGTGGTGATGGAAGGTGGCTTAACTCTGGGTGGTGGGCACACAGCGTGGCATGAAGATTAGGTACAACAGAAATGTATACTGAAACCTCTATAATCTTATTAACTGATGTCACCCTAATAAATTTTAAAAAAGGAAACAAACAGGTTATTTTCTTCTTCACCAAAAGGTCTATAGATCCTTTCCTCTTCAGGCTTTTTTCACACCAATAATTTGAACAATCACTAATCTATTACCTTGAGTTGCTTTATTTTAGCTTGAACGTCACACTCAGAAAAATGCTCAATGTTAGTGAGCTGTAAATCCATCTCTGTCAGCCACACCAGAATGCTGTCCCGTGCTGTCTCAAACTCCTCGCGCTGGCCAATGAAATGCTGGATGTGAAAAGAAAGTAATAATTAAAAAGCCCACATACTGAGATGGTACTGACAGTTCCAATGGTCTTCTGGGAAGTCATTTTCTCAATGAGCAATGAGAACCCTGCCATCCTTTACCATATACATTAACCCTGGGTCCCCCTCTGGCCATGCCAATCTTACAAAATCACTGAGCTTGTATCTTAATATTGTGTTTCCATGGCCCAATCCTGGCCCTGTCCTCCGGGTCTCTAAGCTACAGAGGAGGCATAGTGAAGACCTTGAGTCTGCGCAGGATGGAGGCGACGCGCTTCTGCAGGTTGTCCCATCGCTGGTTGCCTTCGTGGACCATCTGCTTTAGGCGACAGCCGGAGTCAGTGCGGTTCTCACGGGCCAGCCGCCGGTACTGCTTGTTGATCAGTTCCAGCTGGGTCAGGGTCTCGTGCACCTGTCGCTGGAACGCCTAGGACCACAGAGAAGGGGATGAGTGAGGGAGATCCATAGCGGCTTTCAGAGAGGGGGTCTGGGCTCCAGACTGCAATGTCGGGGAAAGGGAAGTCAGGCTGTCACAGACAGGCAAAGGGCAATCTCCGATGAGCCTACAGTTCTCCCTGTTAAAGGTAAGTAATGAAATTAAAGAGAAGTAGCAGATCAAACAAAAATATAAAAGAGAATGTTGAATACTAATAAATATATATGTATATACACAAATACATATACATATATCATAAATACTCATACAGAGAGAATTTACATATGTACATATAAAATACAGCTTTTAAGATAGTTAACAGCCAGAAAAAAATTTTCCCGTAAGAACTTATTGCAAAAATATTTATGCATGCTGAAATGAGTTTGACATATTCAAAATTCCCAATTCAATACTGAGAAAAGATGTCTACCAAAAAACCCTCTCTCTTTATTTGTAAAATATATAATTTCCTAAAAATCCAGAAACTGCCTCAATTCTGGTATCCATTAAAAAATTAAAACTACCTCTTACAGAAGGTCCTTTAAGTGCAAGCTCTTAGGGACTTTTAAGAAAAGCAGTTCAGTAAAACACAAGTAACTTTACACAGAAATGTTGGGATGGTGCTCTATTTCTCTACGCTGCTCCCAGGAGTGACTCAGTTTCCAGAAAACATTTCAGAGCTCCCACGGCACCTTCCATGGTAGTGTCTATTCACTTCTGGGGTTACCGTATCTATCGTTTAGAGTTTTTGAAGGTAAAATACTCTTCCTTCTTTCTCTCTGCAATCTAGTACAGGCCTAGCCTAAGAATCATTTGGCCAAAATAAAAATGAGAGTTTTTTTTTTCCAGACTCATGTGTATGACTGATGACGACTTTCACCTTGGCCTTCGACAGAACATTGTGTAACTGTTTGGACCGTGTGCATCTAAAGCCCCAAGTTCGGCTTCTTGGGACTTGTCACTCTGCTGACATCCTGCTACACTTCTGCCTCCGCAATGGTGTTCCCTCTGAGAACTGCTTCCAGAGCCTTCATCCCAGTCAAGCAAGTCTTCTTTTCTGTAAAACTTGAACTTACTGCTCCAGAAAAGGAGGTGCTAAGAAAAGTTTAGCTCTTGCCATGGCGGGAGGTCACAGAATATGTTTTCGCAATGGAGCGCTGGCAGGCTTCGTGGGTGGGTGCCCCAGCACACCCAGATCCCTCCCACTCATGCTGATGAACGGGCAAAGGTTTCCCTCAAACAGAATTTTGTTCTTGTGAGTTTTTTTGGCCTCGTAAGAAAATTAACTACAAGATAAATGATAAAATCACTCATTACAGGAGCGAATGCTATGAGTATCTTTTGCCATAACATTCGAGAGTCTAAAACAGCATCAAAAAGGATCTTCTATAATCTGCTTTGTAGGATAAGCTAACCAGAGAAGGCTTTAACCTTTCCAGAGCTGTGCACACTAAGATGCGGTGCAGGAACACGTCACAGCATTGGTTCACACGCTGACCTGTCATGTACTGCAAAGCTCGTGTGGCTTTTTCCCAGAAGTTTTCTAAGGAGAAACCTTGTAGATAGGAAACCAAATTTTCTTTCTGGAATTTAGTGGTATAGTTACATAAAAATCCAAATTCAGATGTCAGGATAATTTTGTGTCAGAACTTATTTATTTCACACTGTATTCAAACATTTTTATAAGTTCGTATCGCTGCCCATCCCTGACTGGTAGATTTTAAACCTCACTGGACCCACCGAACTTCATATTTATGATCACAGGCCTCAATAAATGTTGTCAGGTCAACGTGGGTGCAGCTGGACTTGGTTTGACTTTTATTCTTGTTTTTGAACCTCTACGGGAGCTTGGGGCAGAACTGGTAACTGAGGAGGACCTCAGTCAGGCACGCGTCAGAACTGTCTGCTGTCTATGTGTGTGAGTACACGTGTCTGCCTATCGGTGGGAAATGATGGGAAGAGAAACTTCAAATTAAAACATGTCAACTTCACGCTATGTCAGGTCCTCTGTGGAAATGAGGGGCAGCCGAGAAGTCGAGCATTCTCATGGCACAGTGATGGAGCGGACTCGGGGGCAAACTGGTCCAGGAACGGAAGCAGTTATTGAGTGATTCCTGTCCCTGTGAGTATGATTAGACTGGGGCTACTTCTGCCTCTACGAAATTGAAAAGTCTTTGTGATTTAAGAATACATCTGATTATAAATGTATCTTTATTTATAATTAGAAATGGCTTATGATGAACTGTTTTATGCAAGCTGGAGCCAACTCTATTTTATTACTGATTTTAAAAATATACATCTATGCCATAATTAGGTAAAAAATAAGTGAAGGAAATACATTTGGAAGACAGATTTTTACAGTATGGAAAACCACCATCTTTTTATTATTTATTGATTTGTACCCTCACCTGAAGACATGTTTCCACTGATTTTTAGAGAGGAAGGGGGAGAGGGAGAGGTGGGAGGGAGAGAGAAACACTGATGGGAGTGAGAAATATCGATTGGTCTCCTCCTGGGATCAAACCTGCAACCCAGGCTTGTGTCCTGACTAGGAATAGAACCAGCAACCTTCAAAGCCACACAGCCAGGGAGAAAACCACATATTTTAATTTTAAATACTTGATTATGAGGAACTGTGATATAATACAAAGAATGCCAAGATCTTCTGGGGGGATCACGATTTTCGTTTTCTAACAGAATTCCTCTTCATGAGTTTGTACTGTATTTGCAATTCTTGATAATCTTAAAAAAAAAAACCTCCTTTCCCACTTCTTTGCCTCCTTGTGAGGTAATAATAAAGAGGACTACAAAGTCATCCCCCAGCTGTCTGAACAAGAAATGTGTGGGTGAATAGTTTATGTCTTGGGACACCAACTACCAGCTGGCTACTCTCACAGCAAATTCAGGATTAAAGATCTGGAATGATAAATCACCTCGAATTTCTTCAGTTCTTCCTTGGCAACTGTATAGAGCACCACAGAAGAGCTGGGGAAGGCAGCTATCTTTTCGGAAATCTTGAGCCAATCTTCAAAACGCGAATAGTCATCCAGAAACTTCTGCCACAGTTGCCATGTCTCTTCAATTCTGCCACGGAAAAGGAAAGAACAGAATCAGGTTGTCAGAGGCAGTTTATGCCCCAGAGCCCTGCCACCATGGGACTGAGGATGCCCAAACGAGGAACCGTGGTGCCAGAAACCGACTGTGTCTCGAGCCAAATTGGACTGGAGTGGAGAGGAGACAACTGTTTGAGCTGACATGAAACAGCTGTTTTCTCTTCCTTTTTTCTTTAACACACGCCCTGCGCTCTGGATTTGGAATCAGTCAAATTGATCGTTACATGCACATACGGCGAACTTGCTTAGTTTAGAAGTGCAACACTGTGTACTGAGTGCGCACACACATCGCCAAGGCTTTCCTGAAACAAAACAAGGTCTGAAAACCCGTTTCAGTCCAATGTCAAACTCACCCTCATCAAAGTTAGTCTATGACAGCAAGATAAATATGAAGCTTTCAAGAGTTCCCCAGAGAGCAAAAAGATTATGTGCCTTAAATTATGATGATAATTTTCTAACATACTCTATTTTACTGCCTTGAATTTCAAAGGGCTTCAAGATAAGCCCTTTGCTTTATTATTTAATTTTTTAACGAGAGAATGTTATTTTTCTTTCTTTTTTAAAAATTCTTTCCACAAGGACATGCTTATTGATTTTAGAGAGAGAGGAAGGAAGAGAGAGAGAGCGAGAGAAACATATATGTAAGAGAGAAACATCAATTGATCGCCTCTCATACACATACAAGCCCCAGCCTGGGACTGGACCCACAACCCAGGCATGTGCCCTGACAGGGAAACCAACCGTGACCTTTTGATTTGCAGGACAACTCTCCAACCAATGGAGCCACACAAGCCAGGATAAGAATGCTATTTTTCAACCAACAATTCTGTAGCATTGTACATACTCAGCAGAGACAAGTTTTTCTGCATTATATTTAAACTGTTAGGTCAGGCATAACTTGGCTTATCATAATTGTATATTACTTTTATATAGTCATATTATCTTTATATCTACTTATTTTTCCAACTAAATGCAGACAAACCAAGCTTGGAAAACCAAGGCCATTTTTGGACATTTCAGTGAAAGGGAAATAGTGACCGATGGCTTCTCTGGGTAAATTTCTTTTTTCTTTTTGGCTCTCCCTCTTTCCCAGTGGTTTGAATGCCCCAGCTTACTTGAGTCTCCTCTCCATGGACATAGCACAGATGTTTCTCCACCGCCGGTCCAGGTTCCGTGTCGCCTGCTGGATGGAGTCACACTCGGCGTCCGTGGCGCACGCGTCGCAGTCATGCAGCAGCACCTCACACAGGTTGAGCACGGAGGCCACGCCCGTGCTGTGTTTCTCTATGTCTCTCTGCAGCTCCTGTGGGGACCAGACATGCTTTCCTGAAAGCCTTGTATGCAGATGGGAGAAAGTGCGCCAGCATCTGTTGGCTGACGAACGGTTAGGGCAAACCTTGACAACGATTTCCTTTCCTTCAATGCTAGAGGTTTCGTCAACTTCGTTTATGAAATACGGCGAGCTCTACAGTATGAGAAAATGATTCTGGAAACATTCCAGCTATGTGAGCAATGCGAAAACACAAGCAGAATAAATGAAATAGCCTACATCAAGTATAGTGAGAATAAAATGAGCTTCGTTAGTGATTAAGAAAATGAATCTTGCCCCAGACTCTACTTCACAGATATATCACTTTCACTCCAATCCATCCAGCAAAGGAATACATGCGTTCCTATTAAGAGCTGGCACTCAGGAACTGGGCTTTGATCTCTACAGACCTGCAAATTGTTCTAGACAGTTAATTCCACCATTGTTAAAAGGCACCATGAGTTTAAAAGACCTAGGTTCTTTACCAAGTATGATGACATCATCATTACCATCAGCAGCTTCCTCAGTGAGCAATTTTATTTTTATATACATACATACACATGTATACATATATTTTATATATATATATATCTTATCCTTACCCGAGAACATTTTTTTCCATTGCTCTTTAGAAAGAGAGGAAGGAGGTGGAGGAGAAAGAATTATCGATGTAAGGGAAAAACATCAATCATTTGCTTCTTGTAAGCTCCTTGATCAGGGATCGAACCCTCAACCTAGGTCTATGCCCTGACCAGGAATTGAATCTGTGACCTTCCAGTGTACAGGATGATGCTCCAACCAAAAGGGCAACCTGGCCAGGGCTCAGCGATCAATTTTAAATGTAGGAAATAGATGATAATGATAAACAAGGCATTGAATTTCTCCAGAGTTCTACCATGTAAAATCTTTATATTGACTGCAAAGAATGTAAGTGTAAAACATAACCTTTTTTTTCTATTGAGCTTTTAACTCAATTTACTCAAGATACTCCATCATTAAAAGTGAGGCTTACCAGTGCCATTTTTTTTTTTTGCCTGCCCTATTTATTAAGGTCTTTAATACATTTTCTTTTTCTTTGATACAGCTCTAGAATATGCCTAGCTTTTTTCTTGTTCTAATGATAATTCCCCAATTTACTCAGATAGCTGGAATTTATATTCTCATGTATATGTTCTTCCCCCCCTTTTTTCTCCTTAACACTATGTTCCAATCAATGCCTTTTATACAAATGTTAGCTTCTTATTAAGTGTAATAACAGTGCCTCTGATTAATTTTTAGAGATTTTATGAACTAGACACAGGAGATAAATTCGACCAAAAATATTTTTGTATCACTAAACAGGTCTTTCAGAACTCTTGCATAACTTCAGTTATGTGAAAGTTATCACAGAAATTGCTGATCTAAAAATATAAAATAAAATATTACAAAAATTAAACTTGACATTTGCTCAAAGGTAAAGACAGGGATTTCTGTGAATGTGATATCCGTGTAAAGTAGAGGTCTTAAAGTGTAGCATGGGTAAGAATATGCATTTGGAGGAAGTGTTAGGTGGATGAACATAATGTATTCATTTAAAGAAGTTATAGCATTTTGATTTAATTTTCCCCAAGTATGTAAAAGTTATTTTTACAGCTTTAGTGAGATACAATTGACATATTACACTGTGTAAATTTAAAGTGTAGAATGTGATGATTGGATGTTTGCATATTTATGAAGGGATTACTGTAGTAAATTCAGGTAACATCCATTACCCCACATTTGTGCGTGTTGAGAATTTTAAGATCTACTCTCTTAGCAACTTTCAAACGTATGACACAGTATTGTTAACTATAATCACCATGCTATAAATTACATCTCCGGAACTTATTTTTCTTATAGTGGGAAATTTGTACCCTTTGACTACCTTCATGAAACGCCCAACCCCACCTCCCACCCCCACCTCTGGCAGCTACTAATCTATTCTCTGTTTCTGTGAGTTTAGTTTTCTTTAGATTTGACATATAAGATAATATAACATTATTATTTCTCTGTCTGACTTGTTTGACTTAGCACAATGACCTCAAGTTCATCCATGTTGTCAGAAGTTGCAGTATTTTCTTCTTTTTATGACTGAATACTATTTAGTTTTATGGTTTCAGATTTTACATTTAAGCCTTTACTCCATTACAGTTAATTTTTGTGTGTGGTTTAAGCTAGGGGTCTAGTTCCATTCTTTTCAATGTAAATATCAAGTTCACCCAACATTTTTAAAGAGATTATCCTTTCCACATTGAGTATCCTTGGCTCCCTTATCAAACATTAGTTGACTGTATATGCATAGGTTTATTTCTGGGCTTGATTTTGTTCCAGTAGTCTACATGTCTGTGTATATGCCAACACCATACTATTTTGATTATTATAGCTTTGAAATATAGTTAAAAATCAGGCTTTGCTCTCCTATCTCAAGATTGCTGTGGTTGTTTGGGGTCTTTTGTGGTTCTATATGAATTTTAGGGTTATTTGTTCTATTTCTGTAAAAAGTGCTATTGAGATCTTGCTAAGGATTGCATTGAATCTATAGCTTGCTTTGGTTATATGCACATTTTAACAATATTAATTATTCCAATTCATGAATGTGGGACTTCTTTCCATTTCAATGTCTTTCATCAATAGTTTTAAATGTACAGCTCCTTCACTACCTTGGTTAACTTTTCCTAAGTATTTTATTGCTTTTGATGCTATTGTAAAAAAGATTGTTTTTTTTTCAGATAATTCACTGTTAGTGTATAGAAATGCAACTGACTTTTGTATATTGAATTTATATCCTATAACTTTACTGAATTTGTTTATTAGCTCTAAGTTTTTTGATGGAATCTTTAGCATTTTATATATATGAGATCATGTCATATGCAAACAGGGACAATTCCACATCTTCTCTTCTGATTTGGATGCCACTTATTTCTTTTTCTTGCTTGATTGCTCTGGCTAGAACTTTCAGTGTTATGTTGAATAGGATTGGTGAGAGTGAGTACCCTTGTCTTCTTACTTCTGATCTTAGAGGAAAAACTTTTGAGTTTTGTCAAATGCTTTTTCAGCATTTATTGAGATGATTAAATGATTTTTATCTTTCATTCTAGTACTGTGATGTATCTCATTTGTTGCTTTGATATGTTGAACCATTCTTGCATTCCAGGAATGAATCCAACTTGATCATAGTGTATGATCTTATTAATGTGGTGTTGAATATGGTTTGCTAGTACTTTGTTGAGAATTTTTGCATTTATATTAATTGGGGATATTACCCTATAGTTTCCTTGTGGTGTACTCACCTGGCTTTGGTATCAAGGTAATACTGGCCTCATAACATGAGAATGTTCCTTTCAATATTTTTGAAGAATGAGAAAAATTGGCTTTAAATATTGGACAAACTTTACCTGTAAAACCATCTGGTACTGGAATTTTTTATTGGGAGATTTTTTGATTACTGATTCAGCCTCTGTATTCATTATTGATCTGTTCAGATATTCTATTTCTTCCTGATTCAGTCTTGGTAGGTTGTATGTTTTTATGAATTTATCCATTTCTTCTAGGCTGTCCAATTTGTTGGTGTATAATTTTTCACAGTAGTCTCTTATGATCCTTTGTATTTCATGTAATGTCTCCACTTCCATTTCCACTTTTTATTTATTTGGGCCCTCTGTCTTTTTTCTTGGTTAGTCTACATAGAGGTTTGTCTATTTTGTTTAGCATTTCAAAGAACCACTCAGTTTTATTAATTTTTTCTATTGCTCTCCTAGTCTCCATTTCATTTATTTCTGCTCTAATCTTTATTATTTCCTTCCTTCTGCCAACTTTGGGCTTAGTTTTTTTCTTTTTTTCTAGTTCCTTAAGGCGTAAAGTTAGGTTGTTTATTTGAAATCTTTCTTTTTCTTAATGTACACATTTATCAGTATAAATTTCCCTCTTAGAACTGCTTCTGCTGCATCCTGCAGATTTCGGTATATTGTGTTTCCTTTTTTGTTTATCTCAAGATATTTTTACTTCCCTTTGATTTCTCCTTTGATCCATTTGTTTTTCAGGAGTGTGTTGTTTAATTTCCATGTATTTGTGAATTTTCCAGCTTTCTTCCTGTTATTGATGTTTTAGTTTCCTAATATTGTGGCTGGAAAAAATACTTGATATAATTTCTATGTTTTTGAATTTGCTGAGACTTGTTCTCTAGCCTAACATATAACATATCCTGGAAAACCTTCCACACTTCGAGTGGGGCAGGTATTGCAGCTGTTGGGCAATTGCTCCTGGTTGGTTGGGGTCTCAGGTCGTGCTCTCAGACCAGATAACACTGCTGGCTGGATTCTGTGTTCCAGTGGGGACACAGGCAGGGATCTGCAATTGGAATGGGCCTCAGGCTGTGCTCTGTGATCATTCAGGGCTGCAGGCTGTGCCCTGGAGTTGATGAGACCACAGTCTGGGCTTTTCCATCAGGTAGGTCACTGGCTATGCAACCCTGTTGGGCAAGGGCGCTGACCAGCCTCTCTCATCTGGGGCTGCCTGCTGTGTCTGACAGTGGGTGGGGCTGGAGACTGTGTTTAATGGTCAAGTTGGGTTGATGTCCAGGCTTTTTTGTCAGGTGGGGCTGTGGGCTATGCTTGGTGATTGGGCAGAGTCACTGGCTGGGATATCTCCTTGGGCAAGGTTGCAGGCTGTACTCAGCAATCAGAGAAGGCCCTAGGTTGGACTCCACTGCTGGAAGGGGTTGTAGTCTAGGCTCCTTGGCTGGCAGGGCTATGGACTGGACGCTGAGGCTGCCCAAGGTCTCTATTCAGGGACCAGAAGCTATGATGAACAGCTGAGTAGGGCTGCTGGCTTGGCTCCCTGTTCAAGCAAGGCTATTGAATGGGCTCTGTGGCTGCCTGGGTTCTCTAGCCAGGCTTCCTGGTGTGACAGGATGGAAGCTATGCTCAGCTGTTGGGCAGGGCTGAGAAGTTGTTTCCCTGCTCAGACGGGGTAGTAGAAAGGGCACCAAAGGCCAGTGTGGCCCTTCGTGCAGGGATTCAAATTAGGAAGAACTGTCAACTGAACTCCAAGACCAATGGGGGCCACCGATTGGGCTCTACGGATGGGCAGAGATCTCTGCTTGGGCGCAGCTGCCAGCAGGAATGCAGTCCACCAAGATCTGAGTACTGGCTGCTCTAAGACCCACCCCTCTTCTTTGTTCTGTCTGATCCTCAGTGCTCTAGCCCCCCCAGATTCCTCTAGTGATTTCCATGAGGAGAGACCCAAGTGAGTCCCCTGGGAAACATCTTACAATACTGAGGGAGCTGGATGTCCACCTTGGCCTTTCTTTTCCCGCTGGAGAAACCATAGGTAGACTCCAGGAGCCCTCTTGGTGCAATGCTCTCTCTGTGTCCAGGGGGCGCTCTTAGCGCAATGCTGTGCAACTCTGGGGAGGGAGATATGGTTAGAGTGCAGCTAATCCTCTCACCCTTCTAAATGGGTCCTCCTGGTCTCTGTCATCCAGGGTGGGTGCTTCAGCCACACCCCCAGGTTCTGGGATTTTCACACTGGTGTCTTGTCTATGGATAGGTGCTTGTTGGTCTTCTTGTGAGGGGGACTTAGGTCAGAAACAACCTATGTTGCCATCTTGGTGATGTCACTCCTCCATATACATTTGAATCTGTCTCAGAGGAGAGACTCATGAGGGAGACCACTGTGGAACCAGTACTGGGGTGTGAAAGGCAGAACTGTAACTCACAGGTTGCTGGAGGCAACCTGTGAATTATAAGTTTTAGAGAACCCAGCCATGGGGCGGGTGCATGTTTTTATTTCCCTCCAGGAGTCTGACCAAGTAAATACTGGAAAAAAGTCCCTTGGTGCTTCTGCTCAAGCATTAGTTAAAATCAATATAGAAAGTAAAGCTTGAGGGCTTTTATAATTATATGTAAGTGCTGTAATACAGATAAAGATTTTAATTTTAGCTTTAACCTCCACTGGTAATGGTCTTGAATTGGCTATATAGCATCTCTGAATTTGTTCTTCATCTATAACACACAAAAAAATGGACAAAATGCTCTCTGAAGCCCTGTTAAGCCTCCATATATTTCTGCCCAATTAAGTCTACAAGAATTAAGTCCATTGGCAAGAGAAACATACAAAAACTCCATGTGGGGAAATAAAAGAAAATGCATTTCTTATCAATTTAATCTGTGTCCATTTAAGAATTTTTCCCGCCCTGGCTGGTGTAGCTCAGTGGATTGAGCGCAGGCTGGGAACCTAAGTGTCCCAGGTTCGATTCCCAGCCAGGGTACATTCCTGGGTTGCAGGCCATAACCCCCAGCAACCGCACATTGATGTTTCTCTCTCTCTCTCTCTCTATCTCCCTCCCTTCCCTCTCTAAAAATAAATAAATAAATAAAATCTTTTAAAAAAAGAATTTTTCCCTTTGGAGACAGATTGCCATTTATTTATCTGGCTGTTACAACATGCACCCCAAGTGCTACAGTTTTTACAGAATTGTGGTCAAACATCATCCACAGAGAAAATGGTAAATCTCACATGATTAAAACAAAACTGACTAAGCACCCACTTTGCCCTAGGTGCTGTGCTAAGTGCTTTTCTCGTTATTTTCCACAATAACACTATGAGCCATGTATTCAGAGTCAATACACACAAAAATTTGAGGGCTGAAACAGTTCATGACTTTGCCCCAGGGCATGCAGAAAAGTGGTGAAACCAGGATTTGAACCCACGAAGTCTTTACTTTTAATCACTGGTATATGGATTTTAAAAACTTTTATTTAAAATTTAATTGAAAGGTAATGTGAACACATATTAATATATTAAAAAGTCAAAAATTACCACTAAGCTTCCAACAAAGTAATGCCCTGAAACAGCCACCTCTTATTATTTCCGTCTCTTAGAGCTCTGTCTTCTGTTTTTGGCTTCCACATGTCTAAGTAACACATTTATATTTCTTGATTTTCAAATGTTAGACATTATTGATGCTTCCAGTGCCAAGAAAGAATAACCTGCATGGCTCACAGGACTCCAATTACTGTTTTAGCACATCTTACAGCTAGAGCAATAATAGTCGTTTGCATGGTTATGGTTATTTGCTATTTTTCACATTTGAACAACAAAATAGGCTATGGTTATATTTATTGTTTTCTGCAACTTTCTGTTTTTCTGGATTTAATCATTGTTCCTCTTCTCTCTCCTCTTTTTCTCTTTAAAATTTATACTGCTAGGTTCTATTCCCTTTCCTCGGGAGATAACAAAACTCTTTCCCGTGTGGGTAAGGCCGTGAGGCGGTCTAGTTCAACTGTTTGCCTCCTTGGGGACATCTGTCCTGGAGCAGACTGCCCTCCGTTCCTGAGAGTGCCCTCCAGGCTGCAGTAAAACTGTCACCTGGAGCACCTCTTCCCCTACATCCTGGGGATGTCCTTCCCTTCCTCCTCGGTGGGATATTGTTTTTCCTCTCATTTCAGCCTGGGCAGCATACCTTTCGTTAGCTTCTTACACATGTGTTCACAGGAGGTAAATATCTTGCACATTAAATGGCAGGTGGAATACTCAAAAGCTAGACACAGTTTTCTTAACTTCTGTAAGGTACTGTGCTGTTGTCTCCTAGCATCCAGTACTGTTTTGGACAAATCAGACTCTTTCATCTTGGAAGCCTTCAAGTTCTTCTCTTTATCCTCCATGTTCTGAAATCTTATAATGGCTTTGCTTTGTTTTGTTTGTTCCTGGATGCATATAGGGTTTGTGCACCCAGTAACTGGATTAGAATCTTAAGCTCTTGCTTAAATCCTGGCTGCAGTATAAACCTGGCTAGTGACGCCGTGGGATCTGGTGCAGTGGGTGGGAGTTGCACCACTTGGGAAGGAGTCTTTCTCTCTGTTTTTAATATTGTGGTTCCGGCCTCAATGGGGGCTGGGACTCCCACCCACATCCTGAGTCCCTCTGGTCTGCCTTCTCCAGGAGCGTATCTTTGAGTCTCCTACTGCAGAAAACAAAGCAACCCTGCCTGACTAGCTGATCTTGGTGGGGTGGGGGGGGGGGGTGGGATCTGAAGTCCAATCACTCCTTATTCAGACTTCTGAGCAATCCTCCATTTTAAAGCCCTGCAGATTTAACACTTGTATTTCCGAGCCTTCTTGGAGCTCTGGCATGAGTCATGTTTCTCCTTCCTCCGTCTCCAAACACCATCATTATTCACCTGTTCACTTCTTCCAGAGTTCTGTTGGATGTCCGTCATCTCTATTATCGCTTCTGCTCTCTTTGCCCCTGTGAGTTTCGACTTTTTTCCGACCTTTGCTATCACTTTATTGGAGTCCTGGAAGTGGGTAGGTCTATACATATATATAATCAATTTGCTGTGTTTACTGTTTTGATTTTCTTAACCTTTGCTAAATGACAATACTAATCATTAGATTTTAACTTTATCACTGTAGTTATCATTACCATGTTCTTCAGGAAACTTGAATTATTGAAGGCCAACTATGACCCTCCTCAAATTTAATCACCAGAATTTTAAACATCAAAAAGTCAATTAGAGGATTTAACTTTAAAAAAATTGAAAAGAAAACCCCGCTAACAATTGTTTTTAAAAACAAATGCTAATTTAAATAGCAAAGTAAACCTGATGCCTAAAATATATATATATATATTGTAATACCTCTTCTCATTGGTTTAAATAGATTGCAAAATAAAGTAAATATAGAAACTACTTCATAGGATTGCAGGAATAGGTCTGTTTATATATATGTTAAACATTTTTTTAAGTTAAACAACTTGGCTATAGTGTCCTAAATACTAATCAAAGTAACCAGAGTGTGGACAGTGATTTTCAGTCTGAAGGCACGGAGTAGCAGTCCTTCTTCAGGGGATTTATGGTGTTACGTATGACAACTGGAGTCTTCTCTGCTTAGCAGGAACAAGCAAGGGGAGTGGGAGGTGCAAATCCCCCTGTGTGCACTTCTCAGGGTCACCCCCTTTGCTTTGGTGGGCCCAGTGTTGTACACCAGTGAGATGTGCTGTCTTTGGTACACACGAAGGGGCAGTGGCTATGTGCTAAACAGAATTACTTTAGACTCTAAAATCTCTAATATGCACTCTCAGCTTTCTGCATATGCTACTATATGTAGGAAAAAATGGCCCCTTTCTAAGTTTATGGTGATGGGACAGTGACCCACAAAGAATCAAACAAAACCATCAGATTATTTTAGATACATCACTGCAGCTCAACCTAACCTACCATCTTAGGATGGCTCCTGGTGGACCAACAGCACTGACCCGACGATGGCCTGGCTTCTAAAGAGTTGACTCTGTGGTGGCATAGAGCTCATCTGTCCCAAGCAGCTGTCCAGCCAAGGCCTCCCCTTTCTCACTGAACCCGCCTGGCCGCCTCCTGATTTTCCATTCCCATTTGCCTCCCACACTCACCCTGCTGTCCTGGCCTGGAGGACAGATGTTCAAAAGCGTATTAATTTTCTTCAATCACTTTGAGTTTTACCTGCTGCTCATTTAGCTTTCTCTGTATTTCTTCCGAGTCACAGGAATCATAGACGATGGGCTTGGCCAGCTCCGACTCGATGTGAGCCAGCCACGTCCTCAGGCTGCTCATGTTCTTGTCCAGCTGCTGAATGGCGACCAGAGTCTCCTTCAGCTTCTTTATCCTGCGGGCAGAGGAGGACAAGCATCAGCGTCCATGAAAGGTCCCGAGCAGAAGGGGGCACTAGTTCTACAGTCAAAGTGCCTAAAGCCCAAGTCCATCCTGGCCCAGCCACTTGCTGGTTGTGTGACCCAACCTTCCCGTGTCTCTGTTTCCTCATCTATAAAATGGAGATGAAGAGTCCTTGTGAGGTTTAAATGCATCTAATACTCTAGGGTACATGGAGAAAAGTCAATAAATACTGGCTATGATTATATTCAATAGAGCTATAATAATATATCGGCAATAGAACCCTAATAGTTGTCACAAAAATTGTTATTTCCATAAACAATATACTGTTTATACTCCTATGAAGAATTCCTGGGAGAAAGCAGAGATTCTGAAGGCACGATGTTGTAATACCAAGGAGCCTTGGGCACAGTGGCTGGAAAATGAGGGCAGAGGGGAGATGAAGAGGTAGCACGAGAAGACTCGTGGGTAGACCAGAGTAAGATATAAGCAACCTGTAGTGACATGCTGATGGGTTGGAATGCAGTGTTAAAGATAAATAACACTTTGCCAAGTGTTATTAGCCAAGTGTAATTGCCAAGTTTTATTAGCGAGAGAGTGATAAGACCAGTTCTAATGTTGAGTATGTAAGTTTGAAGCGAGGCTGTTGTGAGCGCCCACTCCTCCCACTCAGAGGAGTCCAATCGGCTGCCATCAAAGCCTACACTTGGGAAACAGTGAGAACAGAGGTGAGGACAAGATTGCTATGTTCTTGGACTGGCATGATGTGATGCAGAAGGAGTTAGAAACACTGTGTTTTGCAGCTGGGTGTCTAGAAGGATGCTGCCGCTCAGAGTATACAGGATGAGGAACAAGTTCTTGGGAACTAAGGATGCATTAAGTTCTGGATATAAAGAGTCCGAGGGATCAGGTAGACAGACACATATGGAAATGGAGTTCTCAGGTCCCGAGGAGAGGACGGAGTTCATTGAGTTAGTGTAGGTGCTGCTGGCTTACAGTTGAAGCCCAGTGAAAGTATGGTCTACATTGACCAATGAAAGTGGGGTCAAAGTATGATCTGAAAGCCTCCTCTATTAGGTTCACCAGGTTTGCTCATATACACGCATATTCCTAGATGCCAACCCAGTCCTGTTGAACCAGCAACTCTGTGCTTGCAGCCAGGGAATGTGCATTGTTAACAAGCACTCCACGGGAGTCTTATGCAGACTAACAATGGGGACTACTGGTCTACCGGGTCGCTGCAGAGCAGGACAGTATGACCAGGCCTACAAAGAGGACCCGTGACCTGGCAGTAAGGAAGGCCCTGCTGAACCTAAGTGAATAAATAGTTCATCAAGAGAACAGAAACCACTGGGTGTTTTCTGGGTGACACAATACACTTATGGTTGGGGAGTATTGTTAATTATTTTAAGAAAGGGAGCAGTGAAGGAGAGTAAACATGGTATCACACCTGTAGAATGATCTAGGCACCTGCCAGCTTCTCACCCCCACCTCCCTCACACCCCTCTCTGACCACTGTGATAGGCTTCCTTGGAAAAGAAACACTGCTGTGAAGAAAATGTCTCATAACCGAAGTATTCTGAGCATTTTGGTTACTTTTAATTGCATAAAACTTTATCACCACTTCTCTTACAGTTTCTAAAATCGGTGTGTCTCAAATTAAAATCTAGTCATGACACAGTCAATTTCCTCTGTCACACAAATATGTTTAAAAGGATTTTCACTATGGGCAGTGCTTAATGATATCTATATTTCATTCATTATTATAATAATAATAATGCCTATATCTGAGTAACAATTCAGTTCATAAAGACACTCTGAGGTGCGTTACCTTATATTGTTTTGAAAAAAAAGTATTTAAAAATTATGGTCCTACTTCACAACATAGCCTATTGATCAGGGCATGGAAAGCACGTGTTGCAATATGTGTATCATTAGTCACAACTCCATTCAAAATAAGACTTCTCTAATTAGCTTATAAATATAAATTGTACTGTGTCCCCAGGGCATTTCAAGGTATCAGCCTTGAATAATAATTAGCCAAGAACTTTTACATACAATCTGTTCACTTTTCTTAAGACACTATTCACTTACTTGGGTGTCAGTCAGTGAATGGCAGTTTCAGAACGGCTGCTGGGCGCCAAGCGCAGGGGGAGCATTCCAGCCAAGCCCTCAGCATGGGCTTGGACGTGCACAAGGCCCTGGCCAGCAGCGTGGCGGCCCAAAGTGAAAGGATCGTTTACCATCAATAAGCCCACTGCAACAGGCCCGAAGGACGGCTCATTGCACCAAGATGCCTGTCCTGGTTTCCCCCCGGTGAGAACGTCCTCTCGGGGACCTCTCCCACTCGAGCAGCTTCCTGTCCTCAGAGTCGGTAAGACTGGGGTGCTGACTACACTTTCGGATGGGGTTTTATGACAACCTTGTAATATCTTCCAGGTTGTGTTTGGAGCCAGAGGCCAGAGGAGTACCGCGGTGCTTGCTTCCTCCTCACCGTTACTTAAACTCCCTGGCATTACTTTTGCACAAGGTTCTCTCCCTCATGGTAAGTTCCTTGGAGAGCTGGAGCTGTGAATTTCCACTTTTGCTTCTCCCTCTTCCCTGCCATGCTAAGTGTAGCACAAAGTTGTATACTTCCTAAATGCCTGCTAAATATTAATAATCACCATTCTAAGTAAGATACTTTTACTTAGGTAGTGTAATTTATTTTTAAATTTATTTGGTGCCAATTAGTTGATACTAAACATATATTTAAATTTTCCTTTAAGTCCACCATTTGCAAATGGTTTATTTGTACTAAAATTCATTTTCTTGATTCAAAATTTGCTGGCAAAAATGATGAAAAGATCCAAGGCACAAAGAGATGGGAGTAAACACTGTTTCACTGGATATTGTCTACATTGGCCAAATAATTTACAGGATTAGCTATCTTGTATAATGTTGAATGAGTTCCAATGGTCAGAGTTAGTGTGCAATATGTCAAGGGCATTGTGACATGGAAATGCTTGTTCATATAATCCACTGGGGCCAAGTTCCTCTTTCAAGTGAATGTGTAAATTTTAGCAAAGTCAATGGGGTGAGTATTTAAGTGGCTCTCCTTTCACATTTTTAAAAAGTGTATTTGACTACAAACAGCAAAATATAATGTGTGTGTGTGTTGCGGGGGACAGATGTGAGCTGAGAGAGAATGGCTAGCGAACCCCCGTGCATCTTCCTGAGTTTATTAAACTTCGTATTTGAAGGGCAAGGATCACTTTTTAAGAGAAAGGATCCATCTTTTTCCCATCATTTCTTTAAAGGAAATCCTTGGATAGAGTATTACAATTATTTTTATTTATCTGGCATTATAAGAAGTTTGAGCAACATTCTTTTGGGTAGCATGCAGGATTATAATTCAAAGTAGATGTCTACAGACATTACAAGGCTAGGTAAGTTTACAGGCCTGTTAAATCTGGAAGTCCCTGCAGCTTGGTTTATTTGCACTAAAATTCATTTTCTTGATGAATTCTGAAAGGAGACCCCTTATGGGTCCCCTTATGGGTCTCCTTTACAGTCCAATGTGCCTTATCGGCCCTTGACCTTGCTGAAGAAGGAGTCTGCTACTAAATCCACTTGTCCAGCTTCTTAATCCTTAACATTGTCACATGAATATATATACACACGCACACGCATATCAATAGAAAGATAGATAATATCTCACTACTTTCCTTCCAAATTATTTAGTAGATCCATCAACCAAAACCAAAAATTTATATTCTCAATACACATAGCACCAAAAGTAACATTAATAAATCCTATTTGACAATAGGAATTTATTGGGGGGATGTTAGGAGGCAACAAGAGAGACATTTTAAAGAAGCAAATGAAAATTATTGAGACAATGATAGTGTAACTGGAAAAACCATGAAATAAACACTTGCCTACGTTACTATTTTAGATACAAATTTCTTTTGCACATGTTTTAAGATCTTTATACTTGGTAGTGACCACAACCTACTGACAAACCTAACCAGAAACAACTTCTTCTCATACATAAAACCCTCCAGGCCCCTAAAACATGAGTAGACTTGCATTTAACAAAGGGAAAGCTTTCAGCTACAGCGCTGTGAAGCGGTGAAGGCTGAATTTCAGTTCCATCAGGAGCCTGTCCTTTAAATAGCAAATGATGGACTAACTGGATTTTTTTCTGAATCTCCTTCCTGTGTCTCAGGCTCTACAGTAGCCATGTCCCTCGGATGACGCATACAGTCCAGAGACACCTGGCATGCCGAGCCATAACCAAGTTCATTAACCTTTTCATCCAGCTCCACGTGCCCAGTAGGCGGACAAGAAAACCAACCAACAACAAACTCTCAGGAGTCCCCAGCCAGCAATCTCCTCGCCCCAATCCTCTCCACTTAACATTGGCAAAGGCAACTACAGAGTAAAGCTCCAGCCTCTAACCTATAAAGCCCACGTAACACGAAAGCTATGCACAATGGAAGAAACTCGAGGAGATGCCTGCCTTGTGACATCGCAGTTACACTCTGGGAGATCTGCGTCCGCACAGCCGTCCTCCGCCATCCTCCAAGCACACGGAGCTTCCGCCACCACCATGAAGCTTCCACCTGCAAAAGTTAGGTCTCATGGAGCAAAAGGCTGAGTCCTGCGTGGGGATGAAAGTGTCCCCTTGTCTGTGTTTGGAAGTATGAAAAGGTTCACTCCAGACAAATGTTGGTAAGTCTCTGCCTGATAATATGACACTGAGCACTGACAAGTGGTCATGTTTCTAAATAAAACCGACATTCATTAACATGTGCCAGGCTTGATCTCCTGGAATGTAGGCCACGAGGGTGAGGGGGGGGAAGGCTCAGGGTAATCTGCAAGGAGGGGGAGGCACTGGGTCTAAAGAAAGAAGGATCTCAAAAATAAGGCCGGCCGCAGACGCTCCGTCGCTCTGGAAGGACCAGCAACTTTTCTTGTGGGCTATTTGTTCACTTGGAAAAAAATATTTGA